AGGTTCAGCGTTGCACTGCGCACCGGAATGGCCTTCACTGTGCACCACCTCCCTTGCCCCGCTTGACCGGCAGCCTTCTGTCCAAGCTTTGTCCGGGTGAACAAGGCGTCATTGCTCGTCACATCACTGGTGCCTTCGCTTCTGCCCAAGCCCGCGCCAAGTGGAAAACTGAGGAAGATGGCACTTGCCCGCTGTGCGGAGCTCCACAAACCAAGGAGCACAAGTTTCTTCACTGCCAGGCCCTTCAGCCGATTCGTGCACAATGGTGGCCTCACATCCAACTTGCAATGGAGCGTTGGCCCCACTGGCTGCATGGGCCCTTTGCGTGTCTGCCAGCAGACCTTGAGGTGCCCCGTCTGGTGTTTGCCACGAGAAAGATTTTACCGCCAAAGGCCCCAGACGGCCTACCGGAACTGCTTGCCCGGCGCCCCACCGTGCGCTTCTTTACTGATGGTTCGTGCAGCTCTCCTCACCTCCCGGTTGCAAGCCGTGCTGCGTGGGCGGTTGTGCTCGACACCTCTGCGGATGACGTCGAGATCCCCACCCTACTGCAAGATTGGCGGGACAATCGACAGTTGCCCGACAGTTTTCATGTGGTGGACCAGGGTCTCGTCCGGGGCGCCCAGAGCATTAATCGCGCCGAGACGATTGCAGTGCTCCAGGCTGCTCGCCTTGTCATCTCAGTGGGCGCCGAGTCGGGCGAAATCTGGACGGACAGTGAGTTCGCTATCTCGGAATGGCAACGTGCCTTGGATGCTGCCCCTGCCACCTGGCCGGACCTGGGCGAGCTCCTACAACAGACAGTGCAACCCAAGATTCGCGTTGCAAAGATTGCTGCGCACCAAAACCTTGACCAGCTCTGGGGTCTCCCACAGTGGCTGGCTGCAGGGAACCACGTTGTGGATGAAGCCGCCAAACAAGCGTTGGCCAAGGAATTCCAAGTTGTCCGCGATATCACCGACGCTGCAGCTGAGAGTTTGGACCTTCAACGAGATCTGCTGTGGCTCTTTTGGCGCTACCTTCTCCAACTTTCGAGGGAAGAGCATCGGTTGCTCCAGCAGCTTGAAACTGAAGAACTGAAGACTGCGGCTGTGCCGCGGGCCGGCTCCACTGCCAAAGCGGATCGTTTGGACCACTGGACACGCCAGGACACTGGCCCTTTCACATCCTGGAAACAGCCACCGGCAATGCGGGACTGGATCATTGCTTGCTCGTGGCCCCCATGGTTCACCGAACCGCTGTGGCGCTGGGCTACTGGATTGGAATGGTCTACGCCGTCTCAACAGGCCAAAATGGTCACAGGTGCTACGTACCTCGAGCTGCTGGTGGACTTCGTTGCAGTCACAGGGGTGTGCCCGCCGTACGAGCTGGCACAGGCGCGACTTTGTGATGCTCCCCCAAAACAAGCACAGGTCCCATGCACGATTCGGATGATGGTTCACTGCTTCGTGGAGGCTCTTCGCCAACTGGAGCGGTTAAGTGGCCACCGCTTGCTTCCAGACCGCCGTGGAAAGGTTTTCTCACTGCGAGCGCTCAACGTGAGAACTCCTCGTATCGGAGTCGGCAGCCGACCGAAGCTGCCTTCGGTGCCTGCGACTGGAACTCTTCTCGTGAAAGTGTTGGACGCCTCTGGTACTCTACCATTGTATGATCATGTTCGGGAGTGCGAGATACCGCCTTCTGAGCTACAGCGCATTTGGCGCAGCTTTTCTGACTCGGAGCGGAGTCGCTTAGGTCGTTCCCTGCGCAGAAGTCGCAGGCCACGGGGACATTGAGCGTTGGATCGCACAGGAGGGGTGTTGCCGCTTTCGCTGGTGCACTCCTTCCTTCATACCCAGTCAAAGGTTTAAGGTTGAGGGTTTAGGGGTTGGGGTTTAGGGGTACGAGGGGTCCTGTTTAATCGAGGGTCCGTAGGATCGGAGGTTTGTGTTTGTAAGGAGTTTTTGAAGAAGAAAGGGTACTGCAATGTAGGGTTCGGGATATCAAACCCGCCGCCTTCCGCAAGCGAGTGACCTGCTGGCTAATCAATCCAGCAGCCCTCAATCCTAAACCCTTGCCCGACCCTGTAAAACCCAGCTATGTAGGATTCTTTAATATGATTGAAGTCCGTGAAAAGGTTAATATGTGGGGCCCAGCTGAAGCCTGTATCTCCTGAACCCTTAAGCCCCCTAAATTCTGAACTCTTATATAAAAGTCTTGACCCCCTTCATTCAAAGGATTCTTGATGTGACTCCTGCTACATGACCTTTCCAGGTTCGGGCTTCAAGATATTGGGTCAAGGGTAAGGGAAGCCGGGGGCTCAGGGTTTGAGGTTATAGGGCTTGCTGGACTGGTCCGGAAATTCTATGATCCTACCGGCACAGAAGAGGCCAAAGGCCCTATTCTGAGCACTCGGCGCTTGGAGGATACAAGCTTAAGTTATCTAAGCCTTGAACCAGTGCGAAGAAAAGGGCCCTTGAACACAGACTACACCAGCCATTGTGTAAACCCTATAGAGTCGCTGTCACATTCAGGCATACATACAACATACATACATACGGGTGGTTGTCAAAATCATGGTCCCTTTTTGAGTACCCTAAAATAATAGGTGCCGTACTATCATAATGAGCGAAAAAGGGATCCTAACTTTGACAACCACCCATACACACTCCCCGAGCCATCGAGAGCCAGGCGCGGGGTGCCCCGCGCTTTGCCGTGGCTGCTCGCAGCTTCGGCAGCTCGGCGAAGGCAGCCGACAAACATCGAATCCTAAATCGACTGACCGATGTCCGAGTATATTGTATATATGTAAAAAGACACATACACAAACATACATGCATACATACATACATACATGTCTATGCATGTGTGTGTGTATCTATGTAATACTTATAACCCTAAATACTTATCCGTATTATGCCTCAGAGCTCCTTTTTCCAAGTCTGTATAGACGCCAACACAACGACCGGTAATATTCCTTAGGGCTCCATCTCACTTAGAGTTGAAATTACAGCTAAACCTATAGTACAATGTAAACCCAAATCTTATTGCTCAGGGCTTTTTGTTTGTGTCTCGCAAAGCTCCTACCTCAGACCGTGTTTTTGAGGCTGCGGGGTTGAGGACTTCGCATTGAATCCTGTCCCTGAAGTCATTCGAGAGTAGCCGACGGTTCACCCCATGCTGTTCGGGGCAGGGCTCCTTCTTGTCAGGGCCATCTGCTTACAAATAACACGCCAGGCTTCAACGGGCTTACTGACATGCTTTTGGGCTAAGGGTTCAGGATTCAGGGCTCAGGGTTGAAGGCTCCAATGCGACCTCGAGCGAACACTTTCGGTTCCCTCCTGTTCTTAGACCCCCAAAAGTATGTAAAATCATGGCCCAAAACCTATAAAAGGCTATAATTCTACATACTTCTGGGGTCCAGGTTAGGGCTTTTTACGTTGACGCTCATCCGAATCCTGGGCGCAGTTCAGTCTCGCCTGAAGCTGACTAGCAGGACCTCCCAAGGATCCCCTGCTAGACGCCCAGAGAGTCGTTGGGGGTTGTGGTACATTTACATTTACGGACATTTAAATTATAACTTATAAATTATAATGAAAATCAGGGATCTGAAGCAAGAAGGACGCAAATTGAGAGGAACTCTTACATGAAGCTTTGCCTGTACAGGTGGCTGTGATACAGGATCAGCAGATTCCTAAAGACGAGGCGCACATCCCGTGTGGCATGTAAGGTTTTAAGGAGTTTACGGGGTTCAAGGTGTTTAGGGTTCAGGGTTGCGAAAGTACAGCGCGCATGCTTGACAGTGTTGTCCCTAATTACCTTAGTATGAGCCACATGTTCGCCGGGCTTGAAGCTAGCCTAGGGCCTAGGATGTAAGAGGTCGTCCAAAACAGCATCTTTCAAAACGAAGCTGGTCCCAGCTTCCCTTGTGTGGTCTGGGTGCAGCAGGTGTCAGAATTTGTAGTCTCCTTCTCCGGCATAAGTCAGCTTAGAGCCTCTTGTTCTAGTACCACTGGCCCATATAATAAGAGTTGCTTCATACTGTGCTGCACCACGGACCATGTAAATTGAAACCCTTGAGAGACTAGTCGAGTGCATGGTCCGGAGGCCAAATTGCCTCAAAAAGATCTCAAGAGTAAGTTGCTCTCTTAGGCCTTCTATACTAGCCCCTTCTCGTTCCCGAACCTCCCAACTCCCAACTTCCGAACATAGAGTCATGTCGTCCGAGCTCCGGAGACTGCAGTACGTCGTATGTAGAAGGATAGACAGATCGGTTGACAGACAGATAGATAGAAACAGAGACGGTGTCGTGAGGGCATGGGTTTGCTGATTCGAGAATCTGCATTCCAAGCTTAACATCCCCCGCCTCATGTCGGGCAGCACAGCTTGCAGACCCTTCAGAAACCTGCATGTTCTGCAGCCATCTGGCTAAAAGCTTGCGTCTAAGAGCGCTGAAGTAGTCAGGATTAGCTCGTTGTTCACTTTAAAGCCCCAAAGCACAACTTGCGGTTCGTTTATGCGACAGTCACTTTCGGAACAGACTGGCTTGCCGTTTTGTCTCGCCTACCATCGGGCTTAACTAGGCTTGCCTTTGCACATGAAGATCTTTAATTTGCCAGGGAAACCATGAAGCTAAAACCCATCATCCTCAGCGATGCTCGACATGCTAGCTTACTTAGGCATCGATTCGGATTTACACATGAGGTTTGAGAATCGCGAGCCTCAGAAACTCAAGCCGCACCCCACTAAACAAACGCCCACAGCCTGAATCGTTTCACACACTCAAGGAGAGCCCTACAGCCCCAAAATACGAAGCTACAACCCTGAGCCCTACGTACAAGTTTTCCTGAACCACAGCCCCCAACAGAAAACTACGACCCTAAGCCCTCTAAGCCCTAAACCAAGAGAAAAAAACTAAGGACCACAACCCTAAACCCTGAACCCAACGTAGAGACTACCATACCCCCAAACCGAACACAGAAACTACGACCCGACTTTGGGGAATTCTGTGCTCTCCCGCAATGGCCCGTACTCGGGTCTTTGGCCGCGGGCTCTCGAGCAACTTGCTTCTGCGAGGCCTGACCCTTGCCACCGGCGTCCATGTACCCTTTCTTTTGTTCGTTTAAGGGTTCGTCTAAAATTCCATAAGGAGTTTATAAGAGTTCCCTCAGGCTTTCAGAAGAGGTCTTTAAGGGTTCGGTTTAAGGGTCTCTGGTACCATGTATGAGGTTTTCAGCTTCAAATTCAGGGTAGAAGTGTCTGTGCACCTTTGTGGTATGCGTTGCATGCGTTTTTCTTCAAGGTGGTTCCCGTGTCGGTACTTCAAGTTTTTGCTGAGGGCCACGTAGTATAGGCTTCGACCCTTCGGCGATCCCTGCAAGCAAGCCTCTGTCAGGTGCCATCATTCCGGAAAATAGGGGACCCTAACATAATACCCCAAATAGTCGGATCCTTATTATAAGGACCCCAAAATAAGGTACCCCCCAACTTCTGAATCCCCAACCACGACGTCCAAAGCCCGAAGCTCTAAAGCCTGCAGCCGAGGCCCTGAGCCCTAGCGACTTTCCGACAACCTGAAAACCCTGTCCGCCTTATTACCTTAACCCGGAAGAACCTACATTTTTAAGGACGTATATAAGGAGATCATAATTATAATAGGGAACCCTAAAAAGGAAGGTCTTTCAGGGTTAAGGTACATCCCATAGGCTCCATAGTAGTTCCTTTTTGGGATGACCTTATAGGATTCTATATATGAACCCCAAAAAGGAACTACTATGGAGCCTCTGGGTACATCCTATGAAGTCTTTGAGGGATTTCGGTTAAGAGGCTTTTGGATTCTGCCCTGAGGCTGTGTTTCGAAATAACGTGTTGGTTTAGGGCTTCGGCTCATTTGGGGACGAAGTCTGCAGGGTCGCTTTGCGACTAATTCTTGCGTGTATGAGTTTTAGGATCTCCTTGGCGTGACTTTGCGTCCTGTTGCGTCGGAATGCTTCGGGCACCGAGTCGAATTCATAGTCCCGACTTCCTTAACGCCCGGAAAGCACTACAGCTGAAACATCCCCCTGCAGCCCATATGCTTAGGATTCTACAACCCGAGACTCTCGGTGCTCAGGGCTTAAACATAAGCAAACTCCATGGTAACATAGCCCCAGCCTTTTAGATTTTCAAAGCATGCTGGGGAAGAAGCCCCAAAGCCCTCACCCCGCCCCAAACCCACAGCACCCTAAACTCTAGACCCACTCTCAACCCAGCATCCTAAAGCCTAAACCTCAAACCTTCAAGACCCAAAACCCCGAAACCTCTAAACTAACCCCTGAACCCTTAAGCCTAAAAGCCCAAACCCTAAACCCCTAAACCTTGGATTAACCCTTGAACCCTTAACCCTAAATGCCCGAAACCCTAAACCCTAAAAGCCCAAACCCTAAACCCCTAAAAGCCTAAACCCCTAAGCCTCGAGACCCTAAACCCCTAAGCCTCGAGGACCCTAAACCCATAAGCCTCGAGACCGTAAGCCCCAAAAGCAGGTCTGGTCTTCTGCATCGCCTTTGCACCGCCGGCCTTGCTTCTCTTCTGCCTGCCCGGCTCGCGTGGGCGAGTGGCCCTTCGGGCCCGGGGAGGCGCACAGCCGCGAACGGTTTAAGGTTTGAGCTTTAGGGTTTCGGGTTTCAAGTTTAGAGATTAGGGTGAGGTTTAGGGTTTCAAGTTTAGGGTTTAGGGTGAGGTTTAGGGTTTGAAGTTTAGGGTTTAGGGTTTAGGGTATGGTTGAGGGTTTAGGCGCTGTGGGCAATGTAGGAGCCTGATTAAGAAATCCTGGCTTGTGCTAAAGCCCGCTTCACATCCCAACAGGCTAGCTTGTTTGGGAAATACATTCTAAACCTACCCACCATTGAGTCTACATTCATTTGCAGGAGCGATTTCCCGTAAAGCCCTATCCTAGCAGCCCCATAAAACCACAATAACTGGAGCCCTATATGGGAGTTTCCGAAAATAGGGGAGCCTAATATAGTACCCTAAATAGTAGGATCCTTATTCTAGGGACCCCCAAAATAAGGTACCCCCTATTTTCGGAAACTCCCTAAACCCTAAACTAAACCCTTTATAGAACCCTTCTAGATCCCTTTAAGGAGCCCTTTAAAGGTACCCCTAATTTCGGAAGCTCCCATATAGATGCCAGATGCCAGTAGACCGTAAGGTCGATCGCAACGGAAGAGATGGAAACCCTCAGAACCTACCCAGGGGCCCCAAAGTAGTTCCTTTTTGGGGTACTTAAAAGATCATGGGACTTAGTAAGTAAGGTTATAAGTACCTTAATTGGGGTTATAAGTAGATATAAGTATAGTTACCCTAATTATAACCTTAGTTACTAAGTCCCATGATCCTTCAAGTAGTATATTAGAGTCCCTAACCAAAAAAGAGGACACACCCAAAAAGGAACTACTTTGGGGCCCCTGGGTAAAGCCCCAGAGCCCGATCCTTCCCAGACCCTCAGCCTTACCCTAATGCTCCTGGACCGCGGGTTACGGTTTAGGGTTTAGGGTTTAGGGGTTTAGGGTTTAGGGTTTAGGGTCGTAGTGAGATCCCAAGCCCTAGCCCCCAAAGCCGAAACCCTCCCCTAGAAAGCCCAAGACCCTCTTAGGAGCCCTAGGGTACAGCCGTAAAGCATCGTAGAGTCCCAAACCCTTAGAGGGGACCCTACCATAGAACCCAATCGTAGCCCTGAAAGGGACTCTATTATAAACCCAATAGTGCCTAGCGTCTAAGGTGTATTTTTTTAGGTTACTTTCCGTCAAATTGGTTTAACCCAAAACAGGACCTACGTACAATGGAGACTATTATAGGTACCCTTTAAAAGGTCCTTTTCCAGACAGGTCAGGGCCAGCTGTCGCGCAGCTTCTCCGTGGGCGACACGGTGAAAGCGCTGTGCCCCGAGGATCGGCGCTGCAATGCTCAGAGGGTGTATTTATTATATAGGGGCCTCTAAAGGGTTCCTTATAAAGGGTCTATAAGGATGACAATAAGCGGTATTATGGGGGTCTATTTGTAGGGACCGAAATAATTACCAATACTGGGATGATTCAGGGTTTCGCAGACCTGCTGCAGAAGGGTCTTCAAGTGGTCCGCAGGAGCGCACGAGGTGCCCTGCGTGAACATCTCACAACCCCCACTGGGAGGTTCAGGGGTAGTTATAAGTTTTAAGTGGGTTCTAAGCCCCCTATAATAGGAGGTTACCCTACGCTTATAACTCCACTTATAACTACCCATGAACCTCCGGATAGGCTTTCACATTCCTTCCTATGCGACTGAGTTTCGGAGCCCTGAGCCATCAATGAACTCACCGTTTGCACCCCCGTCCAGGATGCACGCTGGCAGCCGGGAACGATTGAGACGGTCAGGGACGATGGTATGTACGTGGTGAGGCTGGCAAGGGTCGGGGATTATCACTTCCGCGGAGTCTGCATGAAGTGCCAAAGTCGTGTGGCAAAAGGCCTTTGGGGCACACACATATGCTGACGGTTTGTCGAAAACCTATCCGAAATTCTAAATTGCAACTGTTATCCCCCCTAAACCCTAAACCCTAAACCCTTACCTGCTCCTCCAACCCCGGGTCCCTCAACAGTGATCCCCATACCCTGGCTCCCTGTTCCTCGCATCTCTGACCACAAGCTCTAAGCGAAACCAAAATTTATCTGCCGCAAGCCCCTGAGCCCTAATTCCCTTGCCATAAGCCCATATGGGAGTTTCCGAAAATAGGGGACCCTGATATAATACCCTAATTAGTAGGATCCTTATTATAAGGACCCCAAAATAAGGTACCCCTAAATTCGGAAACTCCCATATAAGCCCTGAGCCTAATTCCTTTGTCGCAGGCCCCCAAAATGCCAAGCTTAACTGTTGCAGGTGGGACAACCCAGAGCTGGAGCCGCGGCATAGCGTCGACCCGGTCGCCATAGTGAAGCGCGAGGTGGGGTTCTGGGATCTATTTCTGCGGCTTCCGGCAAGGCTGAGGTGTTGAATACCGGATTTGAGATTTGAGGTTTACTCCAAGGCTCCAAAGTGGTTCCTTTTTGGGGTTACCTTATAGGATTCAAATATGGACCCCCAAAAGGAACTAGTATGGAGCCTCTAGGTAGGCTTCAGGGATTCAGATATCAGGCTCAGGCTCGAGATTTTTGGTTCATGGCTGGAGGTTTAGTGTTTGGAGGAGTGGGTTTCAGAGTCGTTGGTGCATTCGTTTTGGCCTTCGGGTTTAGCGCTATGGTGGGTTTGATTCGAAGCTTTCGTAGTTGGCCATGCTTGGTGTTGTCAAGACTTTGAAGGGACTCACATGAGACCCTAAACCCTTAACCTCAAGCCCAAAAACCTTGAGCACGAAAAACTCGTTCAGGGACCTGGAGGTGTTTCGGGTTCGCTTACAATAGGGCTTTGCGGGAGGCATTGGAGGGGTGTTTCAAGGTTTGGGGAAGAACAGTTTAGGCTTCCAAGAGGATCCCTCCCACGAAGAATACCCAACTGTTGCAGATTCTTCGAGCTAAAATAAGGGCCTTTTTTCCGTACTATAAGTATAGTTTCACATCCCCAAAGCCCTTTTATTAATTATTCAGGCCCCTCCATTAGGGTTTCCTGAACCCCCTGCGCTGGAACCTCGACCCCCCCGGCACATCGACCAGCCGGTAGCTTCATGGAGAGGCAGCTGCAGAAGACGTGACCCCAGAGAGCCGACCCAGTAGGGTTTACCTTAACCCTGAAAGACCTACCTTTTTAGGGTCCCTTATTATGATTTCCTTATATAAGTCCTTAAAAATGTAGGTTCTTCCGGGTTAAGGTAGGGTTTAGGGAATACCGGAATACCCCTTAAAAAGCGGAGTATATCCCTTAAGTTATGATGGGCTGAAGTAGAGAGAAAACCTCAGGGGGTATTGGGCTCCCTGGAGAGTTGGGGCTTGAGTTCTATAAACGCTAAACACAAGGCCTTGCGGACAGACAAATCTGCAGACGGAACAAGACAAGATTCTTCAACAAATCAAAGCTGGGAGGTCTTCAAGGACTACAAGGTGGGTGATGCAGTTCTGTCCTACTACTCTGAGGACTGCAGCTATGCTGGATGGAATGATGTTTTGTCGTTTCGTAGGGCTTCGGCACAGGCTAGCCTAATGCAGTCTGTTCAGGGTGCCGCCATAGCTTTTCAAGCTCTCAGGCCCCTCAGCCGTTCAACAAAACTGTAAACTGTAAGCCTTGAACCTATCGGCCCTGATCCCACATTTGTGTTGAGCTCCGGCGCGATCCCCCGGCAGGCCTCGAGGAAATCAGCGTAGTTGATCATAGCCGCGTCACCCGAGCCTTCGACGACGAGCCTGAAAGACCCATGCTTCCCCTGTAGCCTTGCTGTCACAAGTTCCACTGCTGTGGTTAGTCTTTATGTTCTTGCTGTTTTTGCTTGCAGCATTACAGATGCCACGAGCATCACTAGCTACGTACTGGCAGAGCCACAGCTAGATGCCATATGTCTTTTGGTGCATACATGCGCATACTCATTGTTGCTCTCCGTCTGATTCTGCGGATGATCCTTGGGGCTCCAAAACAACCCCAAGAAGGTGCTACTTACAGACTTTGGAGCCCAGAGTTACCTTTGGTCGCATTCTTCCCCCAGAGCCTGAACCGAAATCTTACCGGCTACCTCTAAACCCACTTCAAGCCGCAGCCCTAGGTATGTGGTACCCCGGCGTAGTGGAAGAAGCCCGGCCGGATGGCTCCTTCCGGGTGCGCTGGGACATCCCCGAAGACGGTCTGGATGAGATTTCTGTGTATCCTACGCACATGAAGCCCCCTGGCCGTTGTGTATATTAAGACATATACACGTATATATATATATATATATATATATATATATATGTATATATATACATATGTATATATATACATATGTAGAATGTTATCATACACTGTACTGTATTGCATTGCATTGTAATGCATGTAGTATGTATTACATGTCATATACCATATTGCATATGGAAACGTATCATATATTATATTAGGTTGATACATAGATAGATGTGTATACACAGTCTTTGGCATTTCTGTTTATCTGGTTCTGTGAGTGTGTATATTTATGTATACACATGTATCTATGATCTTACTCACAGGTTTGGAGTTAAGGCCGAACGCAAGTGCAGGGGTTTTGTCAAGGCATTAGTATGTTGAGCACTGATTTGTTGGATTATGCCCAAATGTCTCTTCAGTTGATGCTGACGGACCCTTGGCGCATACAGGCATCTGCGCATGCAAGCATAGGCAGGGTCAAGTGCCAAACAACACAACAAATGCGCGACACATACATAGCAAGCACATAAACAGTGTGTCATAGGTGCATATGCATACACACACACGCACATCTGCACATACATGTGCACGTGCATGCCTGCATACATACATACATACATACATACGTACATACATGTGCAGTCAGATCGTCCGTATTGGTTCGGAGATTTTGGTTCAGTTCTTGGTGAATCCCCCAGATTTTTGTTGGTTCTTTATAGCTTGAGACGCACAAGTCGTTTGTTGGATGCCTCTTCTATGTCCGCACAGCACAGCATGCAGGCCCCTCCGCAGACTGTGTGTGTGTGTGTGTGTGAGAACGGATTTCATCATGAAGGACACTCAATACCAATAGGATCCTCAGACAATCCCGAGTACATTGATAGGTTTTACCCGAATCTCTTTATTAACTATCTCTAAACTTTCCACGTGCCAATCCAAAATCGTGAGCCCAGAAACTCAGCCCCGAGCAGCAGCGAGGTTCCCGCGCCTCTCCGCGGACAAGCTCGAAATCGGGCGGAAATACCGTGGGACTGTGCAGTCAGTGCAAGAGTACGGAGCATTCATCGATATCGGTGCAGATGAGCCATGCAGTGCAAGAAGCCTTCCTCTTTGAATGGATCTGCGGTTTTGAGAATTGATTACCCATAGGCCCCATAGTGGTTCCTTTTTGGGGTTCATATTTAGAGTCCTCTAGGGTAATCCCGAAAAGGAACTACTGTGGCACTACTATGGGGCTTATGAGATTGACCCTAAACCCTAGCCCCCGTTGATCCTTATTTCGAGGATCAGGGCTGCATGATTGGGGTTGCCTGAGCTGTCATGAACGAAGCAGGCAAAACACATTCCTATACTTTCAAGATCCCAAGACCCCCGAACCCTGATACTGCAATATGACGTGATGTACATAATAAAATATAGTATTTTTGTAAGTCTTGGCGTCAGTGCCAGAAGAAGTTTTGTTTTTCAGCTGCATGTAGAACCCACCCTAAACTGCAAGGACCCAAGACTCCGACCTTAAGACCTAATACTATAGTATGAGATGATTTAATACAATCTAAGATAAGATCATATTTTATAGTACAACTCTAGATCCCTGTCCTCAAAAACCGTGAGCCTCTGAACCTCAAGGCCTTGGGATTGCTCCACGTGACCGCCATGGAAGGGACTCACTCCCGGGTAGAAACTGCCCACGACCTCGCGACTGATCTGCGACTTGGGGTTCAGGGATAATAGGGTTTAGGGGTTTAGGGGTTTAGGGTTTAGGGGGCCTAAACAATTATGGGGTTCCTTCACAGAGTTCCTGAAAGGGTTCTGTGGGGATCTATAAGAGGGTTCGATAATATAGGGTCCTTAGTGATTGCCTATACTGTTTTGATTTTGGGGGCTCTTTGTTAGAACTATAGTGTAGTGGGTCCCGAAACCCTACTCCAGTTATTAAGGTCCCTGTATTATGGGGTTGGGGGGGTCCTTTGTCAGGGTCACGTTTATATACTTCGCAGTGTGTGATGACATCTGTGCGAAGTGTTTTGAGTTTTGTTGCCGGGCTTCGTTTGGATAAGGTTTATGCCTTCGGGATCCTTTTGCGCTTTGTTGGGGCTTGGACTTGACTGGATCAACGGGCCCTGAAAAGAGACCCTGCAGAACCTACCTGTTCAAGGGTTGTGGTGGCCCGGCTTTTGTTTCTACATGTCTCGTACGAAGTAGGCAAAGGCTTCGCTTCTTTGAGCATCGGCAGCTCAAGCCAGGGCTCCTCTACCCTAAGGCCCCAAAGTAGTTCCTGTTTGGGGTTCACATTAAGAATCTAATGAGGTAATCCCAGAAAGGAACTACTACGGGGCCTCTGGGTAAAGCTGCCGCGAAGGTGACCGAGGGCGAAGACATCGACGTGTGGATGGCGGGCTTCAAGTCAGGGAAGATCGTGCTTTCACAGCGCCCAGGTGCCCCCAACCCTATATGGGGGGGGGGGGGGTTGTCAAAATTAGGGTCCCTTTTTGGATCCTTAATATAATACGGCACCTAATATTTAGGGTACCCAAAAAGGGACCACAATTTTGACAACTACCTATACAGGGACCTTAATAATTAGAGTAGGGTTCCGGGATCCAATACACTATAGTTCCAAAAAAGAACACCAAGCCATTTTTGGGGTTCGCTGCAGAGCACGGCGCCGACCGACGAACCATACTTACATCATGGTCTACTATAGGGGCCTTAATAATTACCTATGCTAATTTTGTTTGTGTTTGGGGGGGTCCCTAATATAACTATTGCATAATGGGCCCCAAAACCCTATTGTAATTATCAAGGCCATATGTTAATTGGATCATGGTGTAGTTCTGTGTTGCCAGCACCCTAGGTGGCAAGTCCAGTCGAAATCTGCTTCCCTTCGCTGCGGCTTCACCAGACCAGTGGCAAACTGGTGTGGTCAAAGCAACTGCCCGGTACGGAGCTTTCGTCACTGTATCGCTCGATGCCAACACCGCAGATGGCCTGGTCCCGATTCAGGATACGTTGAATATTCATCATTTGCTGCGGTTTAGTTAATTTTTCACAAGCCTGAATTCAAAACGTCTCCACTACAACCAGCGAAACCCTAATCCAAGCCCCTCGCACGGTTTTGCATGAGTTACAGTTGACATCGCACCATTCATTTTTGGACCTCCCGGCTTGCAGGAAATCAGCAATGACTTCATCCGAAGCGTCGATGATGTCCTGAAGCCAGGCCAGGGTTCGGGAAGTATAGGAGAGTAGGAGAGTAGTAGAGTAGTAGAGAAGGATAGCAGGATGGTACTACAGTCACTATAAGGCTGAAGTACAGTAAGGCTTATAAGGGGTGCTAGAAGGGTTGCAGGCAGGGTAGGGGTGGGGATGAGTGTATTGGCTGTAAGTGTCGGCCAGTCAGGGATTCTGTTTCGTGACTGGTTTAAATATCTTAGTGTGTAGAGTTTAAGGGTTCCCGTGTTTCTGCGCTTTAGGTTGGGTACTGCCCCCACTCAGTAACAGTTAGATAATGTACATAATATAGATATATTAGGACCTTGATAGTAGCCCTATTATAGACTGTTATTACCCAAGCTTTAGGGCTCCAGGGGTCGGTCAGGGGTTCGAGTTTGGGTGGTGTTTGCGGCTTCGGGGGCGACGGAGGGCAAACCGGCAAACCCTAAACCCTACAAGCCCAAACCCTTAATCGCACTAATTAATCCCTCAATCGTACTTCCCTTTGAGACCTTTTGGGCTTCACAGAAAAGGAGTTCAAAGCAAAAACTAAAGTCAAAGCTCTGAACCCCAAACCATCCTAAACCTCCAGCGAAACAGAGGGCTTACTATAGAGGCCTGCATAATTACCCTCATTATTTCGGAAATTATTACTATGGTATAACGTGCCCCAAAGCCCGACGTCTTCTAATTCTTAAGGCCCTGTATTAAGGGCGTCATACCGCGAGGCCAGAAGGTCTCCGTGAGGATCTTGTCCGTGGATGTGGTCGCCGGGAAGATGATGCTGACCATGAAGGGCGAGAAGAAGACCGCCGACTACAATGTGACTGGGTTCTTGTTCAGAACCTCAGTTTCGTGTTAGCATAAGAACGAAGCCAGATATTTTACTATGGGATCGCATAACTCAAATTAATTTCATTGAATAGCAGAACCCTCAACCCTAAACCTTAAAGGTCATTTACAAGAGCTGAGGTGACAACCCTCAACCCTAAAGCCTAAAGGTCATTTACAAGAGCTGAGGTGACTACTTTTATGGACGTGCCGCCTCAGACCTGGATGTCCGGCAAGGTCGCAGCTCGGCGTGCTGTTTCAAAACTTTTCGGGCACTGTGTTCAGGCAAAAATCTTTCTACATATACATACATACATACATACATATATATATATATATATATATGTATGTATGTATGTCCCAATCTCTCTCTCTCTCTATATATATATATATATATATACATATATATATATACACATGTATGTGCATATACATATATCGAGAGAGTTCGGGCATGCACTTTCAGCTCACGTTCGGGAACTCGGAAAGTCAAGACTTTTTCCTCGGCAGAGTGCCTGCCAAGGCCCAGATCCAACAGCAACAGCATGCAAACATGTTTGATGCTATCATTCATGCTGCTTATATCGTAAGTATGATGCGGGCGGTTCTGACAGCCGGGAGCTTCATGGTACGTACTACTGTAAGCCTACCACACACAACTCCGACACGATCACGCAAGCGCCCTGCAGCCTAAGGTACATGTCACTGATGCCGGCGCATTCGTCCGCCTGGAGTATGAAGGCTCTACTGCAGATGGCCTCTTGGCTGCTCCGATGCCAAACCGCAAGTTAAAGGTCAGCGCACGAAGATTTAGGGCTTATCATGGTTAGTGTTTTGACTTTGGCGACAAGGCCGACTAATTCTCTATAAATCTGATTAAGACTTAAGACTTAATGTCGCAGACTGCAAACCACGACCTTCACACCGATTCGTTCAAGATTCCAAGCCCTGATTGAAGCTCTGTATCAAAAGAGCAAGAAACCCCACTGTAGAAGCTGAGCCAGGGACCCCAGAGCTAGGAGAATCAAGATCTACGAATTAAGGCAGCTCTTAAACTTTAAACGTAACCCCTAAAAGCAAAAGTCGTCAAGCTTCAATCCTCTTCTCGATCCATGGCCGGCGCTGTCCGGACAGCAGATGAAGAGATTGAGTTGCCAAAGAAGCTTCCGGGTTGGAGGTAGCGGACGTGAGTTTATCACATGATGTGATCAGGCTGTCCGGCTAAGAGCTTACTACCATGGTTGGCAAGCCCCACGCTGCGTAATTGAGTCTGTAGTCCGCCTCCGAATTGCAAACCAGAAACTCTTAAATCATAAACCGTATGCTCCAGCTCTAAAGCCTAGATTCTGAGCAATGAACCCTAAAAGCCCGAACCCAAGCACTCTCACCCTAACTGACCCTAGCCCTAAACCCCTAAACCCCAAACCCAGAGGATACCTCCACGCGAGCCAGTTTGGGGATCGCAGCAGCGCGGCGGCCTCGGGAGTTCTCCCTCCGCAGTTTCCTGAAAGTATCTGTCGACCTCAATGGTCAAGGAGATCGTATAGTGTATGTGTATATGCTTATATACATACATATGTATATATATATATATATATATATATGTATATACGTATCTATATATATATATATATATATATATATATATATATACATATGGATGGTTTAGTGTTCGGGTTTCAGGCTCGAGGGATCCTCAAAGGATGTTCAGGAGCTAGGGTTGGGGAGGTTAGGGTAGGGCTCAGGATTCATGTAGGGTTTTCAGCTCCTATTGGAGGGCGTGTACAAACCTAAGATGCCAGTTTGAGTGTCGTGTTATTGTGTTGGGTTGGGATGTTCGACAGCTTCATGTCGGCAAACAGGTCGCCATGCTGTGGTTAGGAGCTCCTTGTAGGCGTAGTTCTGTAGTTCTAGTGGTTCCTATTCCAACCCATAGTTAACCGCTGCATTACTATACTATACTCATTAGGACCGAATTCTTCAACAAAACAAGTTATGTACATTCACACATATGTATACATATTATGTGTATATATATATATATATATATATACTTTGTAATTATTAGAGAGAGAGAGAGAGAGAGAGAGAGAGAGAGAGAGAGAGAGAGAGAGAGAGAGAGAGAGAGAGAGAGAGAGAGAGAGAGAGAGAGAGAGAGAGAGAGAGAGGGGAGAGAGAGAGAGAGAGAGAGAGAGAGAGAGAGAGAGAGAGAGAGAGAGAGAGAGAGGGAGAGAGAGAGAGGCTTTCTGGCTTTGAGACACCGGGTGCTTAATGTGCATACAGCCGTCTGCCGTATGGACCAGCAGCCTGTAGGTCCGCGAGCAGCTCGGCAAGGAGATTCGAGCGCCTCGGCTGCAACGAAACAGAGAAGTTTAGCGCTTAGGGTTTAGAGGGTTTAGAAAGAGGGTTGGAAGGTATAGGGGGTGTAGAGGTTTTAGCGGCTTAGGGTTTAGGGTTACGGATGGCGAAGATCATCATGCAGCCTTGTGCTTTCATGCATGTGGCCTCGCACTTTCATATTGCGGAAAGCTGTATGTACATGCACGCGTATCGCAGCATTGTTTTCAACTCCGGTTGTAGTTCTTTTGGTTGGATCGTTTGGGCTACAGATACTGCGACACTACAATTTCAAGTTTTGGGTAGTTGTTTCTAGGCAAGGTTGTTCAAGGTTATCTTTGATTGAGTTTGTGTGTGTGTTTGTGTTTAAAACGGTGGAGCAGCCAGTCCAGAGAAGCAGATCTTTCGTTCCGTCGTCAGAGCATTCCAGAACTGCAACATGACGATATTTCAGCAACTCTGCAAGCATTGGCTGTCGTCTTGGGAGTATCATCTCCCCACCTCCACCTGAGCAGATGCAGCAAATCGCCCAGATGCGTGACACGTTTGACAGGTGCGCGTCGTGCAGGTCAACCCGGAACGAAATCGGATGAAACTGTCGGCGCTGCCGATCGGAGAGGCAAGATCGGGTTTCCATTTTCCGCAAGCATCGCATTGCCTGGCAATATTCTGAAAACACCACCTGCCTGTAGTCTCCATCGTATTTCATTTTCAAAAAAGGCTGATATAAGATCCTAACCTTAAAACTGGCTTAAACCCAAAAGGAACTAAAATGTAGACTTCAGGTGGACTCGGACTTTGTACCCCTCGGCTGACCCAACATACGGAAAGCCCTAAACCCTAAACCCTACCAAGAGTCTCCATGGTAGTTCCTTTTTTTGGTTTAACCAACTTCATATTAAGGATCCTAAAAGGTAACCTCAAAAAGGAACTACAACGGAGACTATAAGTAGACATCCGGAAAACCCTAAACCCTAAACCCCTAAACCCTGAACCCCTAAACCCTAAACCCTAAACCCCTAAACCCCTAAACCCTAAACCCCTAAACCCCTAAACCCTAAACCCTGAACCTCAACATCCCCCACGCTGGCGTCCAGCTCCGCAGGAGGAGAGACCCGAGTACGAGACTGCCAGCAGGCGTGGGTTTCTGCCGAAATCCAGAGGGAGCAGTACAGGGGTCGGAATTATCAGCAACATGAGTCCCTCTGTCTATATCTATATATATATATATATGTATATACACATACATATATATATATATATATATATATATATATAATAGCTGCGCTATAACTATGATGTAATTTTCAGAACCATATTCCGTTTCAGCTGGATAGTGTTCTGGTCTGTGGCGTGCCGTGAGCCCAGACAGTCAGAAGACGGGATGAGTCTGCTTTGGGCTGGGAGAACCCCTGTACTCTTACGTCGGCATCATGAGGATCAGTTTCCTGACTCCTTGTGGTTTTGTAAGTTTGCCTTGGGCTTCAGGACTCGTTATTCGCTCAAGTTGGTAAAGTGAAGCGTGGTTCAGGATGAAGGTGCCTGAGGCTTTGGGCCTTCGGGGTGTTTGGGTTTGGGGTCTTAAGAGCTAGGGATTCTGTAAGCTTGGTACCCAAGTCGCCAAGGTAACCTTCTGGATGGCCTGTTGTAAAGCTGAACATGAACCTCGTAGGTTCAATACCGAACAGTATGCCTCAGTAGGTAATATCATGCTTTCCTCTCCCGGCCAAATGTAGGTCCGGCACAGGATGCCAGCAACTCTGAAGCCTTTACTATGGGGGGCCTCAATAATTACCTGTACTATGTTGGGGCTCCTTATTATAAGTATAGTATGATGGGACCCCAAATCAAAACCCTATTCTAATCTTTCCCCCCTATATTACCTACAACCGTGACACATTCCTAAGCTCCAAAAGCCCAATCTCCTGTCCTAAGTTTCTGCAACCTGTACTGGTTGCAACTGCTGCTACGAGTGTCCCTTGGGAAAGGCTCCTACACCGAAAGCCCTAAACCCCCAAACCCTAGAGTCTAAGCCCCAGACCCCTAAACCCTAAACCCCAAACCATACCTAGACCCTCAAAAGTTGGTAGAATAATGGCCCAGAGCCTTTAAAAGGCCATTATTCTGCATACTTTTGGGGTCCAGGTAGAGTCTAAGCCCGAAACCCTGTAGCCAAGCAAGCATCATCCTTAGCCTCTCTTCGTCTCCTCAAGTCTTGCTGCGGCGTCACAAAAGTTCCAAAAACCGCAGTAGCCTTCAGAGCAACCTATGTGCCCTAAACCTAAACCCTGAGTCCTAGGCCCTACCAGGACCCCCCAAGTACCCTTTAAAGGGCTCTGATATGTGTCATTAAGAGATAATTAGGGGGTACATTAAAGGGTAGTTGGGGGGTCCAGGTACACCCAGCCTTCGAGAGTAGTTGCCAGGGCGCCGGCCCAGCCTGGGGGTCTCGTAGAAGACCTGAGACCATTCAAGTCGCTCAAAGGCGCGGCAGGGTTCCCATAAGGGTTCCTGAGAGGGGCACTAGAGGGTTCTATAACAAGGTTCCCTTAAAGGGGTACTATAGGGTTCTACAGTAGGGTTCCCTCTAAGGGTTCCGTGTAAAAGGAGTGACCGGCGTTTTGTGGCGTAGCTGAAACAGGCAATGTGCTAAAACCTGGGGAAAACGTGTATTATGACTAAAACGTCGTGCTAGGAGAGGCGGAGAATCCCTGTGACAAGTCGATCGTTTTAGCGAAAAAGGTGTTGCCGCTGCAGTAAAAGCCAGTTTTGCGAGCACCGCGCTGCGCAAACTTGGTCTGAGTGGACGTTAATATGGTTGACCCATGGATGCTCTGCGTCACTAACATGGACCACCCATGGATGGTTTGGGCGACGTGTTTCAGTGATTCGAGTTTAGCGGTTTCGGGCTTTGGGGTTTCATGGCTTGGAGTTTCGGGCTTCGGGGTTCAGGGTTAAGGGTTCTGGGATTTCCGAGTTTAGGAGTACGGTCCAGTCGGTTGAACTGTTGAAGCTTTTGAAATGTACCTGTGGTGGGCCACATATGACATAGTGCTTGGCTTCAGGCTCCCGGGAGTTCCGAATTGTTGGGGGTTCAACAGGCTAGTGGAGTTCTAAGTTGTATTGGGATGGGAGACCTGATGTGCCACAGCCCGAGGCCATGCAAACCTATGGCTCATGATATGTTGGCTGCTGACCGGCTTTGTTTGGGTTCAAGCGATTCAGATTGTTCAGCCTTAAACCCCAAACCCTTAATCCTGGATGCCAGTGTTGTTTTTAGGAAATCTGGCATCGGGATCTCGAGCCAATTTCAAACGAAGTTAGGACAAAACAGGGTTTTGGTTTTCGGCTTTAAGTTCTGAGCTCAAGGTTTGAGACTGTGTTTTTGTTTGGCTCTTCTGTTTGACACCTTGTCAGTTCTTGTCTGGGGTGCACAGCTTTAGGGCTTCGGGTTGGGCGCGATCGAGCGTTCATTCTCGCAAGTAATGCAAGGGTGTGAATGTTTTAGTAATCGTATCCCCTTATCGTCACACAAGGGTACTTTTTGATATACTCCGAAGCCATTTGAACTATTCACGCCCCTAGATTGCCGTTGCTTCGGCTTTGCGGCAGGCCAGTGGCTGCCTGGCGTAGTGAAGCAGCTTCGCCGTAATGGTGTCCAGGCAGGGCAGTAACAGTAGGATGCTCGCGTTTAGGGGACCCTAAACCCTAAATCGCGTTCATATGGATGGTTGTCAAAATTAGGGTCCCGTTTTGCGCACCCTAAATAATAGGTGCCGTACTATATTTTGGACCCAAAAAGGGACCATAATTTTGACGACAACCCATATGGGTTTTGGGATTTAGTTTCGATTTTGGGTTCAGGATTCATGCACTCATGCAGTGCCGGGCTTTATGGCTTGAGCTTCGTCGGGCTGAAGAACACATCTGGTCAGAATGCTTCGCAGCTGAAGGGTTTCAAGATGGAATAAAAACGGGAAAGGGGTGGGGACTAACCGACTACTCGCATCGGGCATTGGGCCTTCCTCGGTTGGAAGATGTTGTGTGCTACACAGTGCCTGTAGGCACTTGAGGTTTTGGAGATTCCGGTTCGGAGTCCGTTCGAAATCATAGCACCATGGACCCCAAATAGCTTGTCCTAACCGCTCAGATACCTAGCTTCGCCCTAGGACTTAAACCCGCATCCTGTTTACAGTCTCCATTGTGGCTCCTTTTTTGTTAAACCAGTTTTACTTATAGTTAGGATCCTATAAGGTAACACAGAAAGGGAACTACAATGGAGACTATAGGTAAGTACAGTAGAAGCCAGAAAGTTTGAACATTGGTATCCTCATGCCCTTAAGGTAAAGTATAAGGGATCCTAGCACTAATCCTCCTAAACCCATGTTCCAACTTTCTGGGATTCACCATATTGATAGCACGATTCCTTCAGGTTCCTTTGCTAAGGGCATTTATAGGCCCCGAGAGCCAGGTCTAAATATTCAGGGCACCATATGAGGGTTTAGGGTTCAGGGTTTAGGGTTTTGGGTTCAGGGTTTAGGGTTTAGGGTTCAGGGTTTAGGGTTCAGGGTTTAGGGTTTAGGGTTTAGGGTTCAGGGTTTAGGGTTCAGGGTTTAGGGTTTAGGGCTTTTGGGCGTTTTGTCTTATCGCATGGGAAATCGCTTCTGCGACTTCTTCAGGTTCATCCGCGAAGTCGGCTCTATCAGGTCGCCGCAAACCAAGCCTCAAATCCTTAACCCCCCACAAAAAATAGGATATATATATATATATATATATGCAGACACATACCCATATTTCTATACATATATCTATCTCTCGCTCTCTCTCTCTCTCTCTCTATATATATATAAGTGTATATATATATATATATATATATATGACCGAAACCCTAAACTGGCCCGAAACCCTGGATCACGTGCTCTGACGCCCTGAAGCCTGATCCCAAACCCGGAGGTGGCCGTGGTGTCCAAAACGGGCAGTTACGGTGTTGGCATGGTCTTCATGAATCAGACGCTCTCTTTCAAGGGTGCTATTTTTGGCAGAGGGCAGGGCATTGCTTACCTTTGGTGAGTAGGGAATGGAAGAATGGGGTATAATTATAGCTACTATTACTACTGTTCTTCCATTCCCTACTAACCAAAGGTAAGATTGGCTGAATGAAGCGGTCAATGGTGCTATTAGGGTTGCCGGTTACCATGAAGAGGGGCCCTATCATAGAAATCTACAGAAACCTTTCAGGGCAATAGAGGTTGTACTACCGGGTGTGCAGTCGAACTCGAGGTCTGAATGAGTATTTCGTCATGCTATTCACTATTCCCGTCCATGTCAAGTCCCGATGTATCAAGTGACGAGTGAGGATATTCCATTGTTGGGTGCAAGTGCAAGGTGTTCGGACACTGGGATCAATTGGGTGTTGCGGCTTCGGTACAGAAGCTTCATCGCTGTTCTATGTCGAGGTGAATGAGGCTTAAGGCTTTAGAGTGTTCGAGGTTCCTGAACCCCTAAAACCCCTAAACCCCAAAATCCCAAAAGGAGGCCCTAAACCCCAAAATCCCAAAAGGATGCCCTAAACCCCAAAATCCCAGAAGGAACCCCTAAACCCCAAAATCCCAAAAGGAGGAGTCCCAGAAGGAACCCCTAAACCCCAAAATCCCCAAAGGAACCCCTAAACCCCAAAATCCCCCAAAGGAACCCCTAAACCCCAAAATCCCCAAAAGATACCGAAGCCCAGAGAGCCCAATACCCCTTAATTAAGGAATATGGCTTAAATTATATAGGGCTTCATATTATGATTTAAGCCATATTCCTTAATTAAAGGGTATTGGGCTCTCTGGAAGGATCCAAGAGGGCTTCGTGAGCCGCCTCGAAGACGTGCTGAGCCCCGGCCAGGAGGACCGGTCATTCGAACGTTAGGGGTTTAGGGTTTAGGGGTTTAGGGTTTGGGGGTTAGGGGTTTAGGGATTGAGGGTTTAGGGTTTAGGGGTTTGGGGGTTTAGGGTTTAGGGGTTTAGGGGTTTAGGGGTTTTAGGAGTTTAGGGGTTTTAGGAGTTTAGGGGTTTAGGGTTTAGGGTTTAGGGATTGAGGGTTGAGGGTTTAGAGGCGTCACGGCTCGAGGTAAGCTGATTGAGGTAGCTCGCCAACCTGGCGTTTCCCCTCGTCCTTGCCATTCCTGACCCCAGCGCCGCTGCGTGTGGCGCGACTGTGCTGGCACCTGGGTGCCTCACTTCTGGCCTGTGGCCTGCCTCGTCACTGCCGTTCACTTGGCTGACGAGGACAACTTTGTGGGAGGGCGATCTCCCGGCCTGCCTCGTCACTGCCGTTCAATTGGCTGACGAGGACAACGTTTTGGGAGGGCGATCTCCCTTTCCGTGTATTCAGCTTGTATGTATCACAACAAGCTGTATACACCCCTGATACCTTTGGTCATTTTGGGTGTGGTACTGATTTATATTGGCTCCTCACCGGCTCCTCTATCTTCTCAAAGTGGGTCGCAAACGTGGGACGAGCCCAAGTTGGCATCGGCGGCTTCGCCGTCTCCGTTCACAAGCGAGAAAGCGCTTACACCGTGGTGCGGGACAAGCTACGGATATTTCTATCCTGCTTCGGCACCACGGCAGCATGCCTCCCAAGACTTCGGAGCGATCTTCGAAAGCAGGGAAAGGCTCCCAGAAAGGAGAGGTACCGCAGGTGACCCGAATAGACTTTGGATTACCTCCAGCGGTTACGACGTCGCTCCAGTCTATCTCTTCGCGGGCGACTCAGGACCTCTGGTTGCAGGCCAACTTCAACCAGGAGGATGCCACAGCCGAGCAGCAAGCCCAACGAAGGGCGAACGCTATTTCAAAATTATCAAAGCGCCTGACCGGCAACGCTCGTGCCAAGGACGAGCTGAAGACGTCGCTGCAGCAATGGTTGTCGACGATCGGTCTCCATCTTCTGGGACTCATAAGTCGAGTCCGAGCTATTGGAGACAAGATCGACGAAGACACCCTGGGTGCTGTGCAGGAGATGCAAGCTGTTCTGGCGGAACAACAGTCCAGCGCCTCATCCGATCGGGTGGCTCTTGCCCAAGGCTCCCTGGGACGAGTGTGGAGCTTGTCCCAGGTGGCGGAGGTACAGGCTATCGCCTCGGCTTTGAGGACCTTTTCCAGTGATCCTACCTCTGCTGCGTGGCGTTTGGGCGAGGGCTCTGTGCCGACCCGAACGCCACCTCCGGAGCCCGTCCATGGTGCAGAAGGTCAACTGGCGGGCACTGGCGATATGGGCTCCGAGGCCAGCTTTGGGCTTCCGGGGCGTCCCCATATGGTAGGTGTCGACTATGGCATGGGCGACACCCCTGTGTCTGTGCAGCTGGGCGCGGGCTCCGAGCAGGCATCCGCCTCGGGACCGCCCTCGATGAGCTCTGGCGGGCGCTGGCGAAAGCGGAGTGGCGGAGGCACCGAACGCCCCGCCAAGAGTCCTCGCAGATCAATCGAGACGGCGCCATGGCCCAGGGAATCGACAGGACGCACCCCGGAGTCTCTGAGCCGGCCGCCGGTCACGGAGATCACGGACAACGACACCGAGCTTATTCCGGACCTGGCACATACTGGGCCTGTGGCACCGGCAGCTCCTCGAGCACAGGACTGGGTGGCGGCATGGCAGGCACTCCTTCGCTTCGCTGTCGACAGTGGTGCCGATCCGGTCGGGGATCTGACTGCCTGCCCGCGCCAGGATGCGGCTTTGCCGGTCACAACGGATGCCCAAGCCGAACCCCTGGTTCGGCAGCGTGTGGAGCAGACTTGGCAGGCCTTGAAGGATGGGGTCTCGGGCGAGGCCGATGCGGACCTTCCGTCGCTGCACAGACTGCTGGCAGAAGCGTTGCATCAGCTACGTGGATGTGCCGGCGCCCTTCCTGCTGCACCTCAAGGACTTTTGGTTGCCGCCCACATCTCGGTGGGTGGCTTGCTCGATCCCTTTGCCTACGCACCAGCAACGGCACAAGAATGGCTGTTCCCAGGTCTCTTGACCGAGGCGGGCCTTCCTTGCAAGGGATTCATTGCGTTGGAAGCGTCAGCCCACCATCATGTTCAGACTATTCTGCGGCAGCCATGCCCTTTCCTGGAAAGCATGAGGTTGGAGACCACACAGGAGCTCATGTAAGGCTCTCAAGCCCGCGACTTGCTCAGCTGCGCTCTGACTGGCACCAGTGGTGCGGACTGACCGTCGGTCGTCTTATGATCCTGGTAGGCCAGTTGTGCATAGTGTACATAGCTTTCCGGCGAGCTTGTACAGTCTCTGACCGCTTCCAGACCGCCTATGGGCCTCGGCTTTCCTTTGAGCGCAGGTGGCAACTTGGCTGTACTGTGGTTGCGTCCGCGCTGTGGGCCTGTGTCGTGCTTGCCCCGGTCTCAGCCATCCGGTTTACCGTTTTGGCTCTGGCATGTGAGGCGTGTGCCCTGCGTGTTGTCCGAACAAGGGCTCTGACGTACTTCGAGCTGTTGTATAGCTTGAAGACCCTTTTGGCCCTTCACTGCTGCTCCTTACCTTCCCGTTCTCCTCGACGGTTGGTGCGTTGCAATATTGTTCACGGCAAGCGTGTTGTGCCCGGCTCCGCTGCTGGCCGCCACAGCAAGCCGAGGTCTACAGTCCTGACCTTCTTCCTTCTGTATCTGTCGCTCGTCGATGGTGCTTCCCTCAGGACTGCGACTCAGTTGGGCTCGCTTGGACTTGCCCTGTGTCGCCCTGTTGCTGCGGTGCAACTGCATGTTCATGGGTTCCATGAAAATCGGCCAGTCATCAGCACTGGGCCAGTTTTGCCAACTCCCTCAGCCGAGGCGATGTGTCATGTTTACCCGGTCGGTCGTGCAGGAAATTCCATGCTGTCGCGTTCGGATCGTCTCCGTCGATCCTTGGCCGTCTTCGTTGGTCAGCCACCCGGCTCGCCGGTGCTTGAGCCTTGTCCGCTACTTTTCATGGCAGACGAATGGATGCATGGGCCGCTCCTATGGGGACAGATTGCCGCGGCCTTGGGTTTTCGTGCCGACGTCTTTTCCGTCACCACTCTCCAGAGCCCCCTTCCAGGCTTACCGGGGGAGCAGCTCCTCATGACGCCAAGGTCTCTTCCGTGGCGATATGCATGGCTCCCGGTGGACTTGAGGGCGGTCGGGGGTCGCATTTGTATGTTGATGTGTGTGCGTGACTCCTCCTGTCAAGCTATTGCTCAGCTTGCTATCACGGCGCAGGAACTACAGCTCCGGGTTGATGGTCTTCTTGGCCGCTGCCATTGGGGTTGGCTTACTTTGAGTTCGCAACCACTCTTCCTGCAAGGGGTTGATGCTCTTCAATTTGCGTCTGGTCCCGGCCCAGAGTCACTGCAAGCCCCTCTCGGTGCTTCTCTGGATCCGCCCCTGTCTCTCCTCTCAGCTATGCAGGTCAGTCTCCCATCGGGCCAAGCCGGTGCCGATATTTTCCAGGGATACTCAAACAACCAGGCGATCCTCATAACACCGAATGGCCTTGTATATGTTGAGGTGCCCGTCTTTGCTGACGCGGCGACTTTCCGTCGAATAGTCTCGTTCCGCGCCTCGCCTACTGCTCGAGGCGGGGTAATGCGCATCTGGCAACCTTTGCCATCGTTGCCTTTGGTGCAGTTCCTCGAAATCCATTGTCACTCTGACGAAGTTCCGTGTATTTTGGATTTCAGGCCTTTGGGGTGGCGCATTGTCACTGCGTGTGTGCGTTCCCCGATCACTGCATTGCGTATGCTCGATGAGGCGATCAGGCGTAATAATGGAGGCATTCCTGCTGACTGGTTGGACCAGTGCGCTGACGGCCGCTTTGGGCTCCTCCATCGTGAAAGCATCGTTTTGCCCGACCAGTTGCTTCACGGGAACTTGCCAGTTGTGGTCATGTTCTTCCCGCATATCTTCAGACAGGACTCTTCCTCGTCCTCTGAACAGCAAGTCGGCGGGCGGCCACCTCCATCTAGTGAGGATGTCGATGGTCCCGTTTCCAGCCACACCCTGTTTTTACCTACTGCCACCTCCGGGGTGACCCCCGAAGTGTTCTTGGGTAATGAAGGTGCGAGCCTTAACCCCCCAGGTGAGGACCCTTCCTTTGCTCCTGAAGGGGGTGCAGGTACGAGCGCGAGTTGCACATCAATGCCGACTCCTACTCTGCTCTTGGGTACCCTGCTGTGCACTCTTCATTCATTTGCTGTGGTTGATCTGAAAGGACTGCCTTTGGCACTTTTACTGCTCGTTGCTTTCAGGCCGTCCGCCGCGGTCCAAGTTCACAGCGCCCCTGGGTCTCCGCGCCAAGTCCTGCATGGGGCGTCACTGGCCCGGGATCGCGATCTTGCTGCCCCTCCGTTGGCCCATGTTGATCTACAAGGGATGTGGCAACGCACGGGCGACTTTGGTGAAGCCTTGCTTTGGCCCAGCCTTGGTGATTCATCGCGCCGTTTCCTTGTCACTTGCAAAATTTGGGCGCCAGAGTCCTCGCTTGTACTTCAATTTCTCGGGGATATGGACGCCGGGGAAGTCGCCGCCGAGCTTCACAGGCAAGCTGTCCGACTGGGGAGGCCACACCTGGTTGCAGCCTCCACCGGCCCTACTTTTGACAAGGTCCATTTAGTCGCTGCTGCCTCGGGCCGTGAACACATCACCGTTCTCCTTGATGCGTGTGTCGACATTTGCTGTGTCGACCTCCCAGCTGCCTACACTTCCCGGGATGTCATTGCTGCGGTAGAGCAGTTCCTCCAGCATGATGCCTTCCAGATTCTTTGGGGGCGCGGCTTACGCTTACGTCATGGAGATGTTGTTACTGTGAAGCCCGCTCGACCTACGCAGCATTTTGACATCTCGTCTCTTTTGTTGTCACTTCCTAAGGGCTCTACGGCTGCTTGGCTGGCGCCGGTACGCCACGTTTCTGTGGTTCAGGCCGCGGAAGGGGTGCGCACTTTTAGTGTGCCAGCAAGTACCACCGTGACGGCTGAGGTACTGCGTCTTCTTATGTCCAAAACCTGCACTGGCAAATTTTCGTTCTTTGATTTGCCCTTTCCAGATGTGCTGCCCCATGCTTCGTTTGTGGCAATCGGCCGCCGGCAGTGCGTTGTGGTTTACAGAGTCAATGACCGTGCGGACCCTGCCTCCCTGGGGTTGATCTTGTGCTTTGAAGGCCGCTTCGTGTCTTATGACGAATTTTTGCTGCAGCTTGCCTCTCGGACTGAACTCCCTGCACGTCTTCTCCGGGCTCTCCAGTCCCACGGGATGACGGTGCTTACTTGGGAGACTACTGCACTTCCTGGGGACCCTGCGTGCCGCCTGTGGTGTGTCCATGTTGTGGTAGACATGAATCGAGCCTTCTCTGCGGGGCTGCTCTTCAGCCGGGCGGTCCGACCGATAATTCATGTACCCATCCCTCTGCAACTGCCCAGCGGTGTTCGGACCTCTGACGCCGGCGTTCAAACTGGAGGTCCCTTTCTGGTGCCAGATACTCACCACCTTAGTATGCCTGCTCTGCCCGTCGATTGCGCGGTGGGTCTCTCCCCACCTAACCCGAGCATCTGGTCAAGCTTGTGGTGCGAACATTGGCGACTAAAGTGTGTGGTGCCATGCATTCCAGGCTTCGCACTCTGGGCTATCCGGGACGGGGCCCTTGTGTTTGGGGTTTGTTCCGCCGCTCCTTCCTGGGATAATGTAGCTAATGTCTTAGCACTTTCCTTCTGGGAACTTCCGCAAACCTTCTTGTATGATGAGGGTAAGGTGTGGCCCTATCCTGGTGATTTGCATGACGTTGCAGATCGGTGTGTTAACATTGGTCATGACTCTCACGACGGAGTCGCGCAGCTAGCCAGGCAGTGTGAATGGCAGCAGCCAGCCCCACCCCCGGCACCCTCATCTCTTGCTGCTGCCGCAATCTTGGCGTCTGGTCAAGTAAGAATGCTTGCCCTTCTGGTTTCTCTGGCTGTAGGTGCAGGCGGTGTCCAGGTCAATGCACCCCCAGGTAGGCTCCGGCCACACGACACCTTCGTTACATTTGTCCAGGACAGGCGAGATTTTGCACGCACATGCACCCTGTCATGGACCCATGAGTTAGGGCGTCAAACACACGGGTTTGGAGTCTCCCCGACCAGCCTGGGTGCTTTTATTGAAAGGAACGGCCCCTCGGATGTTCAGCTGCATTTGTGGCTCCCCGGGAGAGGGCCCATTCATATCCGTGTGAGTGCCGCGTACATTGAACAGCATCTGCGTGCATACCTGGCAGCCTTCCTCCCCTCCCCTACCTACAGGTTGCATGTTGCTTTTGACTCCTGTCCTCATGTGCTGGAGCTCGTTGTGGTGCCTCCTGGTTCCGGGATTTGGTGGATTATTCGGGATGTAGGGGGGCGCGAGCTGCTTCGTCCGGTGACGCAGCATTTCACTACCCATTGCCATTTCCACTTCTGCACGCTTGACCCGGATGGTTCTGTACTTCAGCTTGAGCCATCTTCTGCCGTCCGTGACGGCCTCGTTCCCCCGCAAGGAGCCCGGGCCGTGATTACTCAAGGCCTCCCACGTCTTCTTGGTCATTGCGTTCAGGGAGCTGTGCGCATTGCTGCTGCACGCTCCCCACGGACCCTCGTGGGCGTGGCCCTCTGGCTGGTTTCCCTCAGTAGTGTTGTTGCCGCAATGCAACCGGGCGGCGCACCTGGCCCGTCTGAGCATGCTATCATTCCCGCTGTGCAGCCGCCAGATCCATCACCGGATATCATTAGGATCTGGACGCTTAACGTAAGGGAACCTATAGATATCCCCTGGCTGCCTCAAGGCTACCCGACGCGCTGGCTGTGTGAGCTTGTTAGTCGCCTACATAATATAGCTAGCCCTGGGGAGTTTCGCTCCACGCATCATCCGGCAACGGATCCAGTCCAACACCTCATGTTCGTGCCGGTGGTGCCTCGGACGGTCCCCCCTTCTCGCTTCTGGCTGCTACACTTTGGAGACTCAGCGACTGTCACCTTTGGCCACCACCCCTTTGATTGGGATATCTTGGCGGCCCATTTGCGCGCTCTGTTTCACTATGAGCTAGTACCAGAGCGCCGTCCAGCCTTAGGGTTTGGCGGTAACCTGTTCCCACCCGGGGTGGGTCTTCCGGAATTCCCCTCCGGTGCCATAATTCAGGTTGTTCTAGGAGCACTCCCGATGATTCCGGGTGATAACGTTTGGGAGCCTGACCCCTTTATTGTCGAGGGTCCCTTCTTTAGGACTACCCCTAGTCGAGGGCCCCTTCATGAACCTCCAATAGTCGTTGGGGTTGATGGCCATAGACTTGATGGGCACGGAGCTCGGCCGCCCTGCCATGATTGTGCGACGCAGACCAATCTTACAGGCGAAGGTGTGGGGATTGACCATGCTGCTGTCCTGCGGGTCAATGACCTAGCCCGAGATCTGGCTTACCATGCAGCGCGTCTGTGGCAAGGATTGGCCGAGCCAGACGCTGAGCCCGTGGGCGACTCCGGCCGCGTGCTCCACGCCCCTGCCACCCCGGCTCGCCCGGTTGACCTTCTTGACCTTGACCCCTCTCGCGGGGACAGAGTTGCCTCCCCCGCCGCCGCTTGGTTGATCCTGTGTCTCGGCCGTCAGGTAGGGAATTTCCTGAGGCCTCTTCACCTCGTTGGCTGCGTTCTCCTGCTCCCAGGGTGGGTGTCTGCGTCTATTATCTCACCTCCTGGATCCAGTTCGGATGATGAGGGCAGTTCGCTAGCCACAGTGCCCACTTTCAATGCGGCGACCCATGGAGCTGGTCGAGCCCCTCATGTGCGTCCTGCTGGGCCCCCGCCGCCCACTCCGGCCAATGCGCCACCGGTCGCATCCCGCGTTCTCTATTTGCAGGCAGCAACCCCTGTAGAAGATTACTCCTTGGGTCAGTGGCCACCGGTTGGCCCTGCTCGGGCTGCTGTGTCTACTTCTGCCGTGACCACTGTGCAAATCCAACTGTCCCAGTTTCAGCATGGGGTTCGAGCGGTTGTTGATGCCATCCCTCCGGGTACGCCCATCTGCATACACAATCCCTTCACGGCGCGTGCACAATGCAGCTGGCTGGAATATCATGCCGGGGTTGAGATTTCGCCCTTTACTGTGTTTCAAGACCATGCCAATCACCGGGGGTGGAGAGGCCTTGCTCTCTTACATCCACAACCGGATGCCCTGGCGGTCCACCTTATCGGCCAACCGCTTCATCCTGACAATGCTGCGGTCGGGATTGTCTTGCGGGATAGGTTGGTCCCTTGTTGTCTACCACGCTGCGTTCGGGCATCCGCCTTACATTCGCTCCATGTCGGGGACGATGTCTGCGATCTCCACTTTTCTGGGCTGATTCATGATGAAGCCGATACCGTGCAGCTACGGGATGGAGACTGTTTCGGTGCTCGCATCAGACCCCCACGCCCCTCCGCTACCCGACCGGAGGTTGCCTATGCCACGCCCGCCTCAGCCGCCGTGGGCGCGCCCGGTGCCGAGGATCGATCCTCATCTATCCTTGGCGCCCTCGGTTGGGCCGCTTCACCCCTATGGTACCTTGGGCTCTTCCTTTTTGGGAGTGGATGGCGTCATGCAGGGCCGGGTTTGATTATTGTCTGCTTTGGCACCCTAGCAGTCTCTGCTATGCATCGCCCTGGTGGCTTTCCATGGGGGGAGCACCCCCGTAATGGAGAGCTCAGTGATATCACGGCCCACGACCCAGTTTATGTTGTCTTGCATAGCCCCTTCCTTGGCGCTTACCCTGCTTATACCGCATCCAGAGACACGCGCCACCATGCCATCTGGGCACAGTTCTTGAACGATGAGCCTGCATGGCCGGCAGACTTCTTCCCGGTGTGGCCGGGACCGGCATTCAATGAACTGTCGATTGTCCCAATCGGCGCCGACCCTGCCATTGTTACTTTGATGCTGCAGTGGCGAGGCCTCCCTCGTGCAATCGTCGCCCCGCGGGTCATGACAGTTACGTGGCTCATGTCCTTGATCGCCCGCCTTGTCGGGCGAAATGTGGGAGAAATTGCTGTCCCACATGGTCTGGCGATCGCAGAATTCTTCGATGTGCCACCCGCCGCGCTCAGGTTCCGCAACGGTGATGTTGTGTATGCACTGGAGGCCCAGGATGCCGATGATGAGGCACTGCAGGCTGTCGAACCATGGCATCTACAAGATGGACTAGCAGCCCAGCACGCCCCATGGGCCTTGGGGTTTCGTCTTATGTTTGATGTTCAGGTCCAGTTACTTCGCCCTGACCGGCCGCCGGTCCTTGCGCAGGTTGCTGCTGAAGAAGCTTGGTGCCCTGAATCCTACTGCTTTTCGGGCGACTTCCAGCTGCGCTTTCCGGGCATGTGGACGCCTGTCCAGTGGACTTCTGTTCGCCAGGTCCAGTTGGTTCAGGTCTGCAATGTTGCGGCCCAGGTCCATGTCATTGTGGCCACACCGGGTGAGCGTCTCTGCCGAGTGTCTGACAGGTTTGTCTCCAAATCCACTCTGGCATCATCGCTAAATCTTGACCCCGCCTCGGTCTGCGTGGGTGGGATACCGGCATATGCACTTGAACAGTCCTGCGAGCTCCGGAACGGAGATGTTGTTTTTGGCAATGTTGAACAGCTCGACAGCTCCGGCTCGGTGGGGCCACTGGCTCGTACCGTCCTGGCCGCTGTCCTGTGGACTGCCGTCACCCATGGACCGGACCGGGTCGGCTGGAGCCTCTTGGCAATGCTTGTGCTCGGCCAGTATGCAAACCAGGAAGGTGCTCTTTTCGGATGTCAAGCTATGCAGCTTCAGGCCGTCCCGGTCGCCGCTGGACCTGAGTCGGCGGGGCCAGGATTCCCTCGAGCATCTGCTCCTCCCCGACTCATGCAAGTCCACGTCGCCGACCCCTTTGCGGCATGGACGGTTGTCCGGGTCGATGAGTCCGAGCTCTTCCCCAGCCTCCTGGAGGTCTGTCCGGGCGCCCTGGCCTCCTGGCACCGGGGATTTGCCATTGCTGACTCTGCCTCGATGGGGCTGCCTGTGGCTGTTCCGCACCCTGGGCGGGGGTTAGTTTGCGTCCTGGTTGTCGGTCTTGGGCAACGCATCTGTGTGTTCTTGCCTGCGTTTCTGACTCTCCGCGCAGCTGAGAGGGCAGTTGGCCTCCGTATGGGGCAGCTTGTTGCCCTTCAGTTAGGTCCAGGTCTCGTTGCCGAGTCGAGACAACTGGGCGCTTTCCTTGCCCTTCGTACCGGGGATACTTTGGGCGTTCGACTTGTCAGTACGCTTTCGTTCGCTGCGACACCTCCTCTGCCTCACTTTCCTACATGGCAGCGTGCCCATGCTGAAGGTGCGTGGAGGACCGACTTTGTGGTTGACCACCCCTCCTCCCTGCTCTTGTGGCGACCCAATTGTCCCACCCGATTACTTTGCTTTGGCCCTAATCAACGCTGGAGTGCTGCTCAGGCGACCATTTTAGGGGACGACACTCCTTTTGCAGAGGGACGGTGGACGCCCTGTGTCGGGCATCAAGGAGTCATACCATGGCTCCTTTTTCAGGCCACCGAGCCCTCACAAGTCCATGTCATCCGCACTCACAGCTGCACTGAATGCGTCGCTGTTAACCGTGATGCTGCCTATGACATGTGGATTGATGGTTTTCAGGTCCGCCCGCCCACAGCTCGACCGGAAAAGATCACTCGAGTCCGGGAAGGAGATTGGTGGATCAAGGCTGTTGCTAGCGGAGGGGGTTTGGTCTCTGGCGCATCTAAGGGGTTCCGATTTTTCCTCTTGTTGGCCATCTCTCTGTATCTTCCAGCTGGTTTGGCTGCCTCGTCTTCCGAGGGTTGCCGCAGCCCTGACTCGTCTGAGGCCCGTACCATCAGGTCCCGCGGGCGGTGGGATGCGCGCAGCCGGAGTCGATCGCCACCATCGGTTGCCCATTTTCCCCCACGAATTGATTGGACCGATGGCGAGCCTTTCATTCTCCATGCTGGCTGGCGCCTCCACGAAGGGGATGGCCTTACCGCCTTCGACCAATGCTATCTGCGCCCTGATCAGGCCACCGTCCGCACATTATGTCCAATCCTTGGATGGAGCGCCGCTGAAGCTGCTGATCTAGGCCGTTCCTGGACTTATTTTGATAGGATTGGGCAACGGTTTTGTGGCAGCTGGTGCACTCGTTTCTTCCCAGTTCGAGGGGTTCGGCCACTCACAGAAGTCGTCCTGGCTCCGGTCGCTCCCTGCGGTTTGGCCACGGTAATCATTCATACCTTAGATGAGACCGGTGCTTTTCTTTTACCGGTCGACACCACTCCTGCTGCCATTCAGGCGGCTGCTGCAATACGCTCACCCCAGGTCAGGTCCTGGCATCTTATGCTTCCACCGGCGCTACGCGCTGTGCATGAACACCAGGTCATTCGACTACGCAACGGGGACCTCTTTGGGCTGCAGCCCTGCCCTGGTCAGCCGGGTTACGCCCCGCGTCCCACACTGCATTTTCCTTCCCTTGAGGTCGCCCGTCAGGTTGCCAGTTGGTCCCTTCCCTTTCGTTTTGATACTGGGGACACGGCGACATTCTGGACCACCTCTAGCCGGGTAGGGCGCTCAGTCACTGTACGAGGCGGTGGGATATGGGACCCGCGCGGACCCACGTTTCGAAGTCCGAATGGTCAGCAGATGCTGGGTTTGTGGGTCCCGGTCTTGCAAGGGGGCCTCACACGTTTGCATTTTGTCAGTCGGACTCTTCCGGTTGAGGCCTTGGTCCTTTGTTTGATCCCACCTACTGACGAACCGATCGGGGTTTTCCTGGCCGGCATTTGCGCCTGCCGACCCCCCTATGGCTGGAGACTGGTCCCTTCCATTCGACGCAGCCGCGCCGGAGGATCTCTCCGCGACGCTGATGTCCTTGAGGTCGACCCTGCTGCGACTTTCACCTGGGATCCCTTTGATGGTCGCCCCCCGATTCTTGCCGAAGATACACCGGGTCAGGATGATCGTCAGGTTGATCCGGACTCCTCTTGGGACCTCGGCTTTCCGGCTGCCATCTCCGCTGCGTCTTGCGTTCTTCCCAAACGCAGCGTTAGTTGGGCCCTGATCATCTTTGGTTGGCTATCTCTGTCTGGTGTTTGGGGCATGTACCAGCCTGTTGACATGGCACCAGCCCCGATTCGCACTGGCTTTTTCCCTTGGCGGGCCCCCGCAGGCCAGGAGAACATGCAGGATCTCACTGAGCAGGCCACCTTGGAAGTTGTCTATGTTAGCCCCTTCACTGGGCCTCAAGTTCTGGGACAGGTCCCAACTTCTGAGTCACCAGATCACCTGCTTGATAGGGCCAGTCAGCTCGAGCCTGGCTGGGGGACAGGAGTTGCCCCGGTATGGCCGGCTACTCCGCTCCCCTTCCTTATGGTCGTCCCTAAACCGCCTTGCCTTGAACTAGTGTGTGTGGTGGTATCCTCGCTGGAGGATCATTTTGCTCTGTGCATCCCTCGGGTCGCGCCACTAGAATGGATTGCACAGGTTCTGCGGTACAGCCACTCCCTGCACGCTTTGTCCCTCCGAGCACCGGCTACTGTCCGGGACGTAGCTTCAGACGTCTACTGGCGTTCGGGAGATTTGCTTGTTGCGCTCCCACCCGCGGTTTTTGAGCCCACTTACTCCCCGCCCTGCTTCGCCACTGCGACTCAGCTTCGGCACTGTGCTATTTGGTCCGTCGATTTCTCTGTTTCTTCTACGATTGAGGTAGTCTTATGGCGACCTTCGGTGCGGCCACTCCGCTCTCGCATCCCGGCCCTGGCCCGATGGAATGCCTTAGACCTCACCTTTGAGGGTGTGTTTGCCCAGCGGTTCCCGGGTCGCTGGGCGCCAGTTCCATGGGCTGCCGACGACCTCCCCCATCTTGTCCAATGCTCTCACTCGGCAGATGATGTAAGGGTTATAGTTGAATCCTCTGTTGGGTGCTTCTGCAGTGAGCTTCCAGCCTGTGTTGATGCGTGGCAGCTTTGGACTGCGTTGCCTACGCTGCCCTCACAACCGCAAGTCCTGGGGGTCCCTAAGGCCGAGCTTCGCCATGGCACCCTTCTGCGCAACGGGGATGTTGTGTCAGGGTCCTCTCCTCGGGAACAATTTCCCTTGGGGATCGCCCTTTCGCTTTCACTGCTTTGGCGGTGGCCGTGTTTAGGAGGCGCCAGTCTCCTTTTTATTCTCACCCCGGAAGTTCGTGCTGTTCGCACTCCGGCCAGCGGGACCAACACTGAGTACTTGCATCGAGTCTGGAATCCTGCTGGGATGGTACAGGGGCCCTTTCCTGGGCCATCGCACCGATGCCCGGACGTGCTGCGCCACAGTATCCCTGCATGGGATCATTTCGCTCGAGTACGCCCGACCCAACATGTTGCCTTCATTGACTGGGTTCCAGTCCCTCCGGACCCGGACTCTGTGATTGTGCTCCTTCACGGCGGAGTTAGCTCGCGTGCTGTTATGCTGCCATGGCGAGCTTCGCCCCAGGAAGTCTTAGATCGTCTCCGTGCGTTCGCACCTTTGGCCTCTTCCGTCTCCGCCACTCCAGCTGCCTGGAGAGGTACCTCTCTCTCCAGATCTCCCACTCTTTATCTGCGTTCTGGGGATGTGCTCTGCCTTGACAGTGTGTCCTGGTATCCTCGCCTTCGTCAACCGCAAACCCTGGAATGGCCTACGGTACAGTTTGCGGCCGCCTTCGCGTTTTGGGGGCACCCCTTCAAAGTACTTGAGCCAGGCCTCATATTTGCCTGGCAATCTGGGGCCTTCTTGCCGCTCTGCGTACCTACCGTACGGGGTGAGCGATGGGACCCCAGCCGGGGGACCTTCTTTCCCTCTCTTGCACCTTTCAGCTTTTCACGATGGGTTCCTGCTGTTCGGGTTGACCCTCTGGGTCTGCATCTGGTCGAAGAGAGTACACAAGGCACGATGGCCCACACATTGGCTTGTACGTACCCCCCTCGAGTCTGCGCGACTGAGGTATGTCTCAGTCCTTATGCACCCCGCGATGGGGATGATTTTGGTCGGCGAACCACTGGGCTTCCCGGGATAGGTCTTTGGATAGGCCTTCTTACCCAGGGTGCAAGGCTGCGGTGCCGGCCCGCCCTTTACATTCTCGGCCTGCTCTGGTTGCCCCTTTTTGTTGGGTTAGGCCCTATGCCACACCCCCATGCATGGAGACCGGAAATCGTCAGATATGCCGATTCCGGGATCTCCCAACTCAACGGATGTCTTTTCTCGAGTTGGGCATCATCTCTAAGCCAAGTATACGGGCGTGCCTGGGGAGCCCCTGCGATCTCTGGGCCCCCAGGAGCATCCAGAGATGCGCGACATGATAGCTGTTCTATCGACCTTAATGATGCTGGTTATCATTATGCTGGCTTAGCTGCCCATTATCTTGCTCGGCCGCTGCCCCTTCACCTCCCCGCTCTCTTACCAGGCCTGTACCACGGCGGATGGCAGCGATTCCCACCCTGGGCTGGTGGAGCACCGGATGAGGTCCTTATCGCAACTGATGGGAGCGGCACCCACTCCGGTGGTTGGGCCTTTGCAGCCTGGTGTTGTTGGAAAGGGTCTTGGTACCGTGTCGGTTGGGATGCTGGCGCCCTGGGCATGACCCCTTGGCTTCCCAGTTTGCCGGAAGGGGGCACGGATCTCCGCTCATACGCTGGGGAACTGAGTGCCCTAGTCTCAGCTGCGGCGTGGCTTACGGCTTGGTGGGACCACCTCCTTCTCCACACGGGTCACGCACCCAGGCAAGTGACTATAGCAGTCGATAATAGTGCTGCCCTGCAGGTCGCTTGTGGCCATGCTGCGGCCACCCTTGTACATTCTCAAGTTTGCAGGGCTCTTTGGCAGGGCGTCCAGTCCCGGTGTACCACTCACTTCCGCCATGTCCCGGGGCACGCTGGGGCCCTGGTCAATGAAATTGTCGACGCGTTAGCAGGATATGCCAGCCTGCATTCCAGGTGTGCCACAGCAGGTTGGTGTCGTTTGTTGCCAACCTTTGGGGATACACTTGCCGCCTGCGCACCACTGCTGTGGCTCCTCCCGCGCGCCCAGCTTGGTACACATGGCCTACACTGGCGGCCGGCGGGGTGGGAGCCACCGCCTGCACAACCACCTGTCGCGGAGAGTCGTCAGCCTCTGCCGTCTGCCCCTCCGACAGGCGAGCCTGACTGCCCCACTCCGCTTCGCATCAATTTCAGGGTTGTGCAGGCTAACATCCAGACTATTAAAGATGTAGATGTGTCCTTCTTCAACCGCGACGGCCATGGTCAACGTCGGGTCTACCTTGCAAAGCAGTTGCAGGCCTTGGATGTTCAGATTGCGTTTCTCCAAGAGTGTCGTAGTCGGCCTGGCCGATGGTCCTCTCACGGCTTCCTAAGCTTCCGCTCTGGTGCCGAAAAGGGACTGTATGGGGTTGAAATTTGGATCCGCCCGAGTCTGCTACAGCCCGCCCTTTCGTTGGATGACTTTCGGATTCGCCATGCCGATCCACGCATGCTGTTCGTACAGTGTCAACGTGCTGAACTACCGATTACCCTTGTTGCGGCCCATGCCCCACACTCGGAGAGACCGGAGGCGGAAGCGCGGCGGTTTTGGGGTGATTTTCGAGTCCACTTGCTTTCGGCCTGTAACCGGGGGACCGTGATAATCGGTGTTGATGCCAATGCTGACATTGTAGGGCGCGACGAAGATGAGATCCTTGTCGGTGATCTCCTCTCCCTGCGGCCCCCACGTCTGAATGATGACCTTCTCTTGGCGTGCCTGCACGATGCCTCCTTGGCTGCGCCCGGGACTTGGGCAGAGATTCACTCTGGTCCTACTTGGACATGGCAACACACAGGCGGCAAGACCCAACGGCTAGACCACCTGCTCGTTTCAAGCGGGACCACGATTCGGGCCCACCGACAGTTCCCTGAGTTCGATATTCTGAATGGGGAATCCAGGGACCATATGCCTATCACTGCCCTGATTGAAGTCTGTGGGCGTCGCGGGAAGCGGGTGCAATCACGTTGCCCATATGCACCCGCGAGTGGCGATCAGGTGGCCTCTACGATGTGGTCCCTGCTGGGGGACACCTTTTCAGGCACTTGTGACGAACAAGTACAACGGCTTTGCGACGCCCATGATGCTGCCGTCAAGCAGCTGCCCGCTAGGCCACCCTTTCTCCGGAGGCAGCCATACCTCTCTGTAGCAGCCGAAGTACTGCTCACTACGCTCCGGGACGCACGGGCTGAGCTCCGACGAATCTCGGCCCTCCAGCGATTGCAGCTCTGCCGCCTTGCCTTTCATTCGTGGCGGCCGCAGACGCCAGGGGTTCCCAGATGGGAACGCCACCAGACTCAGATGCTAAGGGCTCATTATGCCCACGTCTGCTTTAAACTGCGGGCCCAGGCCCATGCGCAGGCCCGCCAGGACAAGCAGGCTTACTTCGAGTCGCTTTTGGTCGATGCCATTGACCATTGGCACGCAACCGGGCGGCCTTCTGAAGCTGTTGCCAAGCTTTCGTGGGCCTCTAAGGGTGCTAAACAGAAGCGTGATGTCCGAGCCGCCAGTGGCTTTGATATTGACGAACAGCTCCAGTTGCAGTTTCAACAACAGGAAGGGGGACGTCCTGTTTCTGATGATCAGTTACACCTAGCCTTTTCACACTGGGCCACCGTGCCACGACCTGCATGCGCGGCGGCGGTGCCCACTCTGCTTGACGTCGAACATATGTGCAGGGCACAGCGACGGGGCAAGGCCCCCGGGCCTGATCACATTAGAAACGAAATTTGGAAAGCCTGCCCGGACCGGGCCGGTCGCTGGCTGTGGCCCATGTGGTTGCGCATGGCATGGGGAGAAGCCGAGCCCCTGCACTTCAAAGCTTCTATTGTCGGGGCTCTGCATAAGAAAGGCCCGGCCCACATCCCGGCCAATTTTCGGTCGATTGCCATGCTCAATGGCGTCGCAAAGCTATGGCACTCGCAGCTGCGATCCACACTGGGCCAAGAAGTCATTGCCCATTATTTCCCTACCCAACTTGGTGGCAGGAAGGGAGTCGATACTGGCCTCGCTCTCAGTGTCTTCAGGTCCGCTGTTGACTTAGCTTCCGTCCGCGGGCACTCATGGGCCGCATTGTTTGTCGACATTCAAGCCGCCTATTATGAAGCGGACCGACTCCTGCTATTCCAAGGTCGCGATCTTGATTCTGCTTTGCAGGGGCTCCAGCTCCCCAGACATGTACACAGGCTTATCCAAGATGGTGTGCTGACAGGGTTAGGCGTCCCCGAAGATCAGGTCGCCCTCTTGCGTGACTGTGTTGAATGTTCCTTTTGGCGGATGGTTGGGCAACCGCAAGCTATCATTGCTAGCCGTGGCTCCCGGCCCGGCGACGGCCTGGCTGATGTTCTTTTCGGAGCCCTGTTTGCCGTGATCTTGCAGTGCCTCCATCATGCCCTTCGTGCTGAGGACATTGTCCACACTGCCTCTGCCGATGCCTTGGGTCAGCCCGACGCCTCGCTGCAGATCGCGTGGGCTGATGATCTGTGTCTCCTGGTTGACTTCATCCGAGCCGCATGGGCTGTCACGAAGCTCCGCCGCTTGTGTGCCATTGTGTTACAGGTGTTCGAAGCTTTTCGTTTCCGGGTTAATCTTGGCCCTGGCAAGACGGAGGCCCTTGTCCACCTCCAGGGAGCTGGGGCCAATGCCGCCAGGCAAGAGCTTCTGTCGCCTGAACCTTGCCTTGACCTTCCTGATGGCAGATCTATCAGGGTCGTACCTGAATACAAGTACCTCGGCGTTGCACAGCGGTGTCGTGACACCGGGCGTCGAGATATCGAGGCTGCAGCCGCCCGCGGCAATGCTATCTGGACCCAAGCAGCCGGGCTGGTCCACTCCCCCCACCTTCCGTGGCCCTTAAAGCTTGTTTGGCTGCAAGGGCGGACCCTTCCCGCCGCCTATTCCTCGCTTGCCACGACCCTTGCTCGTTCTGAGCGGGCCTGGGGCCCTCTTCATGGGTTTCTTGACAAGTGCCTCCGACAGCTCGTTGGGGCTTGGGATGCTGGTCACCATGTTGCCTCTGCCCAACTGCGAGCATGTACGGGTATCTTGGATGTTGAATGCGCCGTTATTATTGCAAGGGTCCGTCTGTTATGCCGGATTGTCTCCGGACGGTCAACAGAGGCATTCGCACTTTTCGAAGCAAGCTGGGATCGTGGCGGTGATTGGGCCTCCTTGCTTGCTGAGGCGGTGCGTCGTGTCTGGCCTGCCTCCGGTCTCCCTGCGCTCCAGGCAGGGGAGCCCACTCTACTCGGTATTCGGCGCCACCTCAAGAAGCTCCTTACAGCATGTCGGAAAATTAGCCGTTCAGGCACTATGCTTCTAGCCCTTCAACGTGCCTGGAAGAGTCACGAGAGCCCCACGCCGAAGCGGGTCATTGGCCTTGCCTCCCCGCGGATTTGTTCGGAATGTGGGGCGACACTTGCGTCGGCTCACGCCCTCGCAGCGCACATGCACAGGTTGCATGGCCGAGTTGCCTTGTGCACTCAATATACCCTCGGCACTGTCTGCCTGTGGTGTCTGACGGAATTCCACAATGCAGCTCGGCTTCGCTATCATCTGCTCAACACCCCTGAGTGCGAACATGGCCTCCGCTGCTGTGTAGGGCCTGTCTACGAGTATGGCTCTGGCACAAAACGACGTGGCAAGCAAGGCCACGCGCGTGCTCCAGTTTTTCGGGTTTGTGGGCCTTTGAACGCAACCGCAGCTCAACGCCTTGCTGCAGCTGAGGAAAGATGCTGCACGGAGGCCGAGCTCTCGGCAGAGCTGAGTTTGCTTGCACCCGGGCCGGGATTTGCTGACGGTGCCCGCTCTTCACCCGTGGTACCCTTCCGGCGCAACTCTGACAGTGGTCCTGCGTTCTCTCCGCCCGTGTCTGTTGCCGCCGGTCCTCCGCTTTCGCAGCTTGCGCCGCCTGCAGCATCTGCCGCGTCGGCTGCCACGCCGTCGCTGTTCCCTCGTCCAGCACCTGCACCCGGTGGGACTCTCGGAAGCCCGCTTGGCCTTGATACCCGGGTCATGTCCTTGTCTTCTCTACCTCAGGTGGTGTACCGCTTCGTTGAGTTTCCTTCCGACTGTGAGACTTCGGTTTTGTCTTGCCGGTGGGATGGTGTGCCACCCGCGATTTGGTGCTTGCCAGACAGCTGGGCTGCATGTTGGCGGATGTTCTTGGCGCTTGACACGCAGCACCCCTGGTCGCCTGAAGTCTGGCGCCTCTCGGCCTTTTTACGCAAAGAGGAGCGACCGTCACCTTGCCCTGACGGGTGTGGTGCCGCTGGGTTTGGGCATTTTGCTTCGGGTCGCATCCTCTTCATGCGGCGGATGCTTACTTTCTTGCACCTTCTCCGCCAGGTGCGGTTTGGTGCCGTTCTTTGGAGTGCTCGTCCGCTCCCCGCTACCTTTTGGCAACTTCTGCGCCGTGCGTCGCCTGGTGCGGTTGGGACCTCGGCGGTTCCTGTGCTTGGTTTTGGCACTGTGTTCTGCCTGCCTGAGGTCGCTGCCCATGCCTTGGCCCTTCTTGCGGTTGGGCGCCTGTCTGGCGCTTCTCCTCGCCGTTTGGCCTTCCCTCACCAGCTTCTGTAAGCTGTTGCCGTGTCGGCAGGTTCGCGGTTTGGTCCTCCTTCTTGCCGGCTCGTCGTGTTTCACCTTGGTTTCGTGAGTTGCATGCTGGAGCAGTAAGTCTCCGTTTTTCCAGGACTGCTGGGTCTCCCAGTTTTTGGTCCGTCGTCTTTTAGCACGGGACTAGAACCCCTACGCTGTGAAGTGAAGAAGTTGAGGGTTTAGGGGTTTACGTAGGGGTTCAGGGGTTTAGGGTTTAGGGTTTTTACTTAAAGGTGCTCCATAAGGGTCCATGTACCCAAGTAGTATACACTTTGGGCCCACTGTACCTATATGGGTAGTTGTCAAAATTAGGGTCCCTTTTTGGGTGCCCTAAATATGAGGTGCCGTATTATTATGAGGACCCAAAAGGGGACCTATATAGGGAGCTTAAGGGTATAGGGTTTTACCCCTAGGCAGCTCCTTTAGGGGCTCCTATAAGGGATCTATAAGTAAGGGTTTTGGGGTTGAGGGTTTTTACTGCTAGGTGTTTAAATGGTTGTATGACTGGTCCAGTTTAAGGTGTTTAAACGGGTTTATGGTTTGGAGTTGGGAGGTTTCGAGGGCTTTCAAGCGTTTGAAGGTGTTTAAATGGGTTTATGGTTTGTAGTTTAGGGGCTTTAGGGCTTTGCAGCGTTTAGGGCTAGGGTGGTTTAGGGTGTTTATTTGCGGGTTAGGGTGTTTTACGATTTCGTTTTGTTTGCAGGGTGAGGGTGTTCACGGTTGAAAACTTTTAGGTTCGGTAGTGTGGGGTTACGTAGGGGTTCGGCTGTAACAGGTATTTGCCAAAGCCCCGCTCCTGGCTGTAGTACTTCAATTCTCGATGCTTTGTCGGATAATCTGTGGCTAACTTGCCGCATCCCGAGACGCATCTCTCAATGCCCCTTACTCAGCCCTGGCCAGGTCAGGGTGCAAGTCCTGGCGGTGAACTTGCAGCGCAAGCAGATGACCCTGTCCATGAAAAACAGCTACAACGCGCACAAGAAGCAGGACTGCCAAGGTCTTTGAAGTATGTAACTATTGATATTGCAGGAGCTAAGGAGCCAGGGATGAGACAATCCCTATTAAATAAGGAGCTACAGAGCCAAGGGAACCCCAAAACCACTGGTTAGGCATGTAGTGTTGTTTTGGCTTCTGCAGGCTCTGCGTCTTGATGATGCATTAGAAGCTGCCCCCACCCTGTAATAGTGATACAATCGGAATATAATAGGGCCCCAATATAATCCTATATAATCCTTATAGTCACTATTACAGGGTGGGGGCAGCTTCTAAATGATGCATGCCGACTTGCAGTGTCGCGGACGTTTGGTCTCCGGAAGCTGCTAATTCGTCGGTCCTTATTTTGGGGTCCTTATAGTAAGGATCCTACTATTTAGGGTACTATATTAGGGTCCCCTATTTTCGGAAACTCCCATAAGGTCCAAAGACCTATACCTGGACCCTCACAAGTAGGTAAAATAATGGCCCAGAACCTTTAAAAGGCCGTTATTCTACATACTTTTGGGGTCCAGGTAGTAATATGTAGTACCCCATACTCAAACGCAGTAGGGTCTATGTTATGAGGATTTCGGTGATCCTTAGGACTATCATATGCCATGATTACCACGACCCTAAACCCGGGTACGGGGCAAAGCGACCCGTAGCTATAAGGTTATCAAGCTGCACACCCCCGTACTCCCCCACCCGAACTCCCGAACGCCCCAAGATTTACTCTAAACCTAATGCTAGGGTCCTAGAGTTATGAAAGGAGAAGGGGTTAAAGCTCTAAAGCATTGGTAGTTCAGGTTTGGCCTTACCCGAAACCCTAAACCCTAAATTGAGTTCAAGTGACAGTCGAACAGGAGAGCCTTGAAATCTGACGAGCCGAAGAGCCCAGAGGGCTTCGAGCCTTCAGGCTTACGTCGCGAAAGTCCTGACTAAAGCCAGAAAGGCTGCAATCCTCAACACCCTCAGCACTAGAACCCTAGTATCTTAAACTTATACGGCTTATGATCTCTAAATCTGGAAATGTATCCTTCATCTATCTCTGCCCCCTCTAGGATGTCAGCCCCTTTCTGTGCCCCTCCTGTGCCCCTCGAGGATGTCAGCCCCTTCGCCGGTGTCTCTCCGACGGAGCCCGGGCTCTTATAGATCCCTTAAAGCCTGAAAGGAACTCTTATAGATCTTAATTATAGTAATTTAAACTAAGTTCCTTAAGAAGAGCGCCGGAATGAAGCCTTAAAGGATCCCTTATGGATCTTCATCATCCTAAACCCTAAACCCACAAGTTCCTTAAGAAGAGCCCAGGACCCTTAATTATAGATCTTAACTATGGTAGCTTAAACCTTAAACACTAAACCCTTAAACCCTAAACCTCCAACCCCTAAATCCCTAACCCCTAAACCCCCTAACCCCACAAGATCCTTAAGAAGAGCCCAGGAATGGTTCCCCGGAACGGTGGAGAAGGTCAAGGACTACGGCAGCTTCGTCTCTGTGAGGTACGGAACTCAGGGCTTTGGGCTCATAGGGGGTTTGGCAGTTTAGGGGGTTTCGGGGTTAGGGGGTTTCGGGGTTAAGGGGGTTTAGGGTTTAGGGCTTTGGGAGGTTTTGGAGCTTGTAATTTGGGGGGTCGAACCAATCCCTATATAAATATAGCATTAATGAGCAATCCCAGGGTCGGAAGAATCCCTCCATTCAGTAATCCTAGACCCTAGAACCAAAACACGTAGCGGATCTTGGGGCAGTAAGTGCTTTCAGGGTTCGGGTAGGGTGTAGGGGTTTAGGGTTTTAGGGCTTAGGTTTTCGGGGTTTAGAGATTGGCGGTTTCCGGTCTAGGGTGCAAAGCTGTAAGGAACCGAAATCTTAGGCCAGAGTACGGAGAACCTGCCCCGCAGTCCTACAGTGGTAAGATATAGTGAGGTATAAGGTAAGGACGGTAAAGGTAAGGCTACGTCAGTCCAAACAGGGCCCTCAACCAAACCACAATCCGGAACAGGCCCCTGTGCCTTATACAAAGCCACTGACCACCCGTAAGCACTGCAGGCAATTACATGACCATGCAGTATAAATGCCCAAAGCACTCCGAAACTAGAAAACTCTCCAGACCATGCAGTATGGATGCCCTTAGCACTCCGAAATTAGAAAATGCTGCTGTGTGAAGGAATGGCAGGGCGATTGCTGAGGGCCTCGTCCGCCTGCCACAGACAGCCGGGGCCCTCAGTTCCCTGGGGTCGGTGCTCCGGCTAGTGGCACTATCACGATTATGTTAATTGGTGTTGTTGTTGCTGTTGTTGCTGCTATTGTTGTCAAGACAAATATGAATGTTGTCAAAAACCTACTGCTATTATTGTTGTTGCCGTTAACCTTTTTCCTCTTCTTGTTATTAGCACTGTGATTACTGTCGTAAGAATTATTGTCGCTACTATTGTTATTATTGTGGTTATTACTGTTGCCATTATAATGGTTGTTATTGTCCTTACTATTACAAGCTTCTGGCATGGGTCTACAGGGAACTCCAGAAAGTTGGAATATGGTTTCATGGTAGGATACACTATAATCTACCATAGAAGGGTTAGGATAATCATATTCCAACTTTCTGGCTTTTACCTTAGGGCTTTAGATTGTGCGGCTGGGGGTTTAGGGCTCCAGGACTCCACGGATCCGGGCTTCAGGGTTTAAGGTTTTAGGCTGTTAGGGCTTTTGGGTTTTAAAGTTTGGGGTTTAGAGTTTAGGGTTTAGAGTTTAGGGGCTTTGGTGTTTAGGGGTTAAGGGTTTAGGCTTACGGTTTTAGGGCGTTAGGGCTTTGGGGATTGCGGTTTTGAAAGGTAGGGCCACAGGGGTAGTCCGACCCGAAGCCGTCCTTGCAACCGTTTCTGAGCTGAACTGGATGTGCGCCTCGTACACTGTACACTTCCCCGACACCTTAAATCTTAAACCGAATCCTTCACTTCTTGGCCTCCGGGATCCTGCCACCAAAGATCGGCGAGCTCGCGCCTGGCGATGTCGTGGAAGTTCGAGTGCTGGGTGTCGACGTAGAGAAGGGCAGCTCGGCTGGCTGCCTTTGCAAACTTTTAGGGTTTAGGGCGGTTTAGGGTTCAGGGTTTGGTTCAGAGGTTTCCCACAGCCGATAGGTATGTTTAAGTTGTTTAAGTGTATCGAAGGGAGTCTATGCACTGTGTGACGCGTTCTTGAAGGCGACACAACGAGCCCGGATTGCATTTGGAAATTCAGGTAGCTTCGGGTTTTGTGGCCCAGCGTTTTGACTTCCAGAGGCTCGCAGTCGCGTTCGGTTTGGCTCTCTGTTACGAAAAGAGTACCGGTTCTTCATTGGGTACTGCCCCAATACAGTAACAGTCTAAACTGTGGCCTTATAAAGGGCCTAAAAAAGTATGTTACGAGTATTATCCAACGGTTACTGAGTGGGGGTAGTACCCAAGTTCTTCATGATTTAACATGGAACTTGCCAGTGTTGGACAGTTTCAGGGCTTTGGAGCCATAGGTTGTGCATCGACTCTCGAGTGAATGTAGGTAATCTAGGGCCTCAATACTTGCAACAGGGTTTCGGGGCTCGTAATCTTCGGTAGATAATTGCGGAACTTTAAACTTTTTGGCCTTACACATTTGGTCTAGCTTAGAAAGTTGGAACTTTTGGGGGCCCGGTTATTGAAGAAGAGAGTTATTATGACCATAAGCCCTAAAGCCTAAACTATAGTATAATATACACCCCAAACCGTATTACATCTGAACAATCGGCTCAAGTCTCGGCCGTGTGACTAAGGAAGCATGCGGCTTTCCATGCAGCCGGTGGTCTCGGCCTCTCAGACCTCTGATGCGGCAGACGGTTAGGAGAACGCGCGGAAAGTGTGAAAAAGTTATGTGTGAGAGTTTTGGAGTTGGGACTCATACACATGTCTTTTCACACGAGCCGAATCAACTAGCGTGCTTGTGGTAAATTGAAAAAGTTCCGGTTTTGATTCGGCCGCTCCAGCTTCGCTACATTGTCAGACTTGAACATTATTTCGGACACACAATACTGGCAGCTTGATTTTCAAGAGTCTAGACTTTCGTGCACAGACAGGTGTCCATAAAAGTTGCTCCTGTGGTTAAACTGGGTTCTTGCTAAGATATTTCATCTAAGTTACATAAAGAAACCAAACTATTTTCTATATATAGTTCCCTATTATTGTTACTTAAACTAAATTCCTTGACAAGAGCCGAGTCAAGAAGTATGTAGACCAGAGGCAGCCCGGGGTTGGGAGTGTCTCGCACTGGTGTTTCGGGCTTTACGCGCTTCGGATGAAGGCCAGTTTATCTGTAGTCTCCATTCTGGTTCCTTTTTCGGGATACCTAATACTCTGCAGTCGTCTTCGTGTAAACTCAGCATATCAGTGTAACACAACCTACACCCAGAAGCCCCGTTTGGAGCACGTAGGTCAGACGCAGTAGCACAAGCAGGGCAACCTCGCTTCCAAACCATTGACTCCCCATGATCCCTTCAAGTAGTTGGAGTGGTGGCTTGTTATTGCTGTTACACTAGCAGCTCGCTGGGGGACTTGTTGCCGAGAGCTTTCATGGATGCAGTAGATTCCCTTGCTGGGTGCAAAAGTTAAATGCCGTGCTCTTGCATGGAGCCGAAAGGGCTCTTACTTAGAGAATGTCCTCCGTTGTGCTTTTGACAACATTATGTCTGGTTTTGCTAACGACGTCTGAATTTTTAGCGCCGTTTGGCCGTTTGGGATTCTGTTATGTTGTTTCTCAGACTAGTGAGGGCCACGAAGCATCTCAGCATTGCGCGGTAGTACGACATGCCTATGATTTTTACTAGTACGATCATTACTACTACTGTTATTACGGTTTTGTTGTTCTTATACTTGTCACTACTGACACTACTGCTATCTTTGCTATTATTACCATTATTGCTTCTGTTATTGTTACTTCTTACTTTCATTATTACTGTTTTTGGTATTTCAACTATTACCATGATGATCATTATTCCTGCTGCGATTCCACGAGGCAGTGGCAGCCCTCAGCGGCAAGGGCTTCGACGTGTCTTGGTCGCCAGTCCCTCAGCATCGAAAGGAGCACGAGATCCACCTTGAGCTATTTGTCATACTTATTACGGTATAGTATAATCCATAAAAAGTCTTTTGTAAATGCAGCTGTCGAACTTGCAGGGATCCACGACAAGGATCTCGTGGCTAATACGCCCTTCGTAGTGTGTTGCTCACGCACGGAATGTCGAAAGTTTACATGGAGCCCAGCACGACTCTGACAGGCCATGCAGAGAGGCCGCGACTAAGCCTCATGGATATTGACTAACTAACACCCCGTGTAGGGTTTAGAGTTGAGGGCCGCTTCGGGATTGAAGTTTCGGAGCTATCGTTTAGGGTTTAGGGAAGGCGAGTGATGTTCATCTTGCTCGGCATTCTGTTGGGGCTGTTGGTGCCTTGCTCGACGATATGTTGAGGAACAATACAGCGAGTTGTTTTCGAGCTCACTACTCGGAGCTACAAACTTGCACCTCTGATGGCCAACCTTTTTGTGGGAAGGTCTGAAGCATGCATGCCGGTTCCGGTATAGTGGCCAATTTTTTTTAGCAGAAAATTGGTCTCAAGCTGTCGTCCCATGTGGACATGCGGTTGCTCCCTACCTCCAACTTGGTCTCTCCCAGCGGCTGCTGAGTGGCACGAGTAGCAAGCACGGCTTGAAGACTTTAGGAATCTCACTTTGAATTGGAGCCTGAATCGTACGAGACTACAGTAAACCCTGTAAGGTTGGAAAGGTCACAAGGCCAAATAGTGCTGGGATTGCCTATGCATATTGGATTTCCATGTTTTGGGCCTCTACTGTACAGCAGCCCAGACTTGTAACCCCCAAACCCTAAAGCCTGAACCCTAACCCCTGAACCCCTAAACCCCTAAACCCCTAAAGCCTAAAGCCTAGACCCCTAACCCCTCCCTAAACCCCTAAAGCCTAAGCCTTAAACCCTAACCCCTAAACCCTCAACCCCTAAACCCCAAACCGCGAACGGCAAGACCGTCTCTCCTAAACTTCGCGAAGACTCTCTGCTAACACGACAGGTTGGACTCGCCATCCGATGCATGGGCGATCGTCACGGTGCCGGGAGGGAGTATGGGGTTCCTTTAAGGGTTCTATAGGGTTTAGGGTTTAGGGTAGTTAGAAGTGGGGTTATAAGTAGGGTAACTCCTATTAGGGGACTTGTTGACTTGTAAGCCTACTCATAGCTACCGCATGAACCTCCAAGTAGGGTTTAGGGATGCTTAGGGTTCAGGGTGAAGGGTTCGGGGGCTAAAGCTGAGCCCCAAAGTCCTGAAGCCTAAACGCCACACCGCACCCAACACTGCGAAGAACCCCACGAACTCTATAAACGCAAAAAGGGTTCTGCATGTGTGCACAGCTGCAGTTGCAAAGCCGAGCAGCATACGAGCTTCAATGTTGCTACCGCAGTTCCGTACAGGTTTTGTAAGCGCTCTTGAGCCTGCTGGCAGGGCTTTGCGGAGTTCTCCTACTCATTTATGCTATTCTTGTGTCCGCCATCGCGGCTTTCACTTGGGTTCTTTCGTAGCTCAGCATGATCTGCCACCAAACGCGCAGAACACTGCTCAGCCGTCATATCATCGACTGCTATCAGTGGGCTAGTGGCAGTATTTGTTATACATGTACAGAATCTACAGAAATTACAGAAATCAACGTTAGCTCGTGGACAGTGGCAGACGAGATTCTTGCCGGCATCCTCAGCCTTTTCCGGCTTACAGCTGTTCGGTCCTCACGTCGAAACAGGTTCTAACCTGCCTCGTATGCAGGAGCGCTTAGGCTGGTCCCTCAACTTTAGACCACAAGCTCATGAGAGTTTACCCACAACCTGAACCTGAGTCCGCAATTTACTGCCGAAGCAGTGTCGAAGCGAAGCAGAGTGATTGAATGTACGTTTTTATACCGTAATATAGACAAGAACATACTAGATCCTATTACATAAAAGATTCAGGGTTTCGGCTTTAAGCAATTTTAGGCACCCAGCGCCCCAACATCTCAATCCTAGTTCGATCACACCGTCGACGCAAGCTGCCGCAAGCTTCCGGAACCCCAGCCTAGAAGCCTGAAGCTCATAGCCTCGACAGCGGAACTGGCCAAAGCCGCCCGAGCCCCGAACCTGAACCTCAAGGAACAGCCACTTAATCATAGAGAGACCCGCGAAGTGCTCAATTTCGAAGCCAACTAGGCACGAAACCCCGAAACCCTAAAACGAAAAGAGCCAAAGCCCCGAGCCCTTAACTCCCGAAAACTCCCAGAAACCAGGGTTTGAGCCCCGGTGCCCCTCTCCAATCCCTCGACCTGTTGCCGACTTCGATAGCTTTGCAGCTCGGCAGAAGGAGAAGTTTGGGGGGCCTCAGGAGCTCCAGGGTCAGGGTTTGTAGGGTTTACCCAAAGGCCCCAAAGTATATATAGTTCCTTTTTGCGGCTCATATTCAAAATTCTATAAGGTCATCCCAAAAAGGAACTAATGTGGGGCCTATGGGCAAGGTTGAGGTAGGGTCTGTAGGATTTTGGGGTTTGTGGCTTTGGGTTGAGGGTTACAGGTTGAAGGTAGTTCAGGGTGGTTTTCAGGCTGTTTGTTTAGCGGTTTTGGGGCCTACAGGATTAAACGGTTTAGAGTTTTAGCTGGGTTGTAAATACAGGCCTTTTAGCTTCAGGGTTTAGGGTTTGATGTAGCAGCCTGAAAGGTTGCCAATATTGTTCCTTACAGTTCTTCATTTTCGAACATTAAACTACACCCCCGCAACCCAGTTTGCAAATAAAGGCCCTTATTGTAATTCTTAAGGCCCCTGTATTAGGGCTCCGACATGAGACTCGGATGGCCTAGTTTTGGGTTCGAAGGTTATAATATGTTTAGGGTACAGAGACAGCTTCCGCTATGTTATATGGAGCCTATTAGCTGCCCATAGTATAGATACATGCTTACATACATGCGCACACACACACACTCTCTCTCTCTCTATCACTCGTTCTCTTTATGTCTCTTCCTCCCTCCCTTCGCTCTTCTCCATCCTCATCTCTCCGCTCCATATCTGTCTCTCTCTCTCTCTCTCTCTCTCTTTTCTGTGTATCTTTCACTCTTTCTCTTTGTTCCTCTTTGTCTCTGGTTGTCTCTCCTTGTCTCTACCTCTCTCTCGCGCTCTCTCTTTCTCTCTCTCTCTCTCTCTCTCTCTCTCTCGCCGTCCTTTTCTCACACAGAGACCGAGACAGATAGAGAGACGGCGACGAAGACGGAGAAAGACAGGCAGACGGACAGAGAGGCACAGAGACGGAGACGGAGACAGACAGGCAGACAGACGGAGAGGCAGAGAGACAGACACAGATAAATAGAGACAGATACAGAAAGACGGAGATGCAGATTCATAGCAACATCTGAGGGCAATGGCGCATCTCCCAGCGGCCGTGCGCCTGCTTATGCAGAAGCGTGCGGCACAGGCTGGGAGTGGCGAGGCCGAGCCACCGGCAAAGAGGTGCCTGATGCTGCTAGGGCTTGTAGAGGTTTTGGGTCGGGTCGGGGGTATAGGGCTTATAGTGTAGAGGGTTCGGTTTTGAGGTTTACAGCTTTTGGATTCGTCAGGTTAACGCGGGAGATAGACGGAAGGAATGCTTACAACTTGACATGACGGCGATTGCACATTGCTGCTTACTTTGGCCATGAAGTATCCGTAAAGGAACCCCTTCTGAGCCAAAGCGCATACTACAGAGGTACACTGACGAGGTTCCAAAGTCTGACCTCAGAATGAGGGTATGCTTTAGGGCTTAGAAAGGTGGCCAGGGTGCAATAAGCGGCGTATATGAGTCTTGAGCGTACTCGTGTGACTCTTGTGACGATTGCCCAAGTCAAGAATCTTCCAATCGATTAGCCGACCCACGCACATGCAGATCCACAGTAATCAGTCAACCAAGGCCTCCTCGTAGACACACACACACACACGCACACATCAACGTCATCATCATCGTCGTCATAATCTGCGTCATCACCGTCAGAATCATCGTCAGCATCATCATCATCGTCATCATCATCGTCATCATCATCATCATCATCATCACCTCATGCGTGCGGACTGAACACATTGCCTTGGCAGATACATGACCTCGAAGTGCTCAACCCTAGACCCAGCTTTGGAAACCCCAAGGGTGCAAGTAATGGTTTAGGGGTTAAGGGTTGTATAGTAGTATAGTACATAGTTTTCGGGCCAAATACCTACTATAGAGGCTGTCTCCGTCGTTCTCCAGATCATGCAAAACCCATGCACCGCGAATGTGGAGCCTGGAGAGACCCAAAATCCTGCGCAGAACTAAGGGAACTTATGGCCCCTGTTGGTATATACAAAGTCGATTATTATAGTAGCTTATGGTAGGTTCGAGTATACTATAGTATATGCTTCAGGGTTGGGTTTTGGGTTTTGGTGCCCGAATTTTCTGAAGCTCCCCCAAACCAAAAGACGAAAGCCTACGCCCATGCATTTCTTAGAACAATATACAGTTCCCGTGCCAGGATCCTCATAGTAAATATCTTGATGTAAAGACCTGTTGCAGTGATCTGAGGTCTACATTTGTTGGGATAGGGTCCGGCGTTCTCTGGAAACTCGCGATTTTAGAGTCCAGTGCTCTTCCATCGACATTGCGTTACTTCCGCAAGGCCTCCATCACAAGTACGTTATGCACTCACCTGCCAGCATTGGGACTTTGAAAACTGAGGGATAGATGGATGGTGAGTTAGATAGATGGATAGAGAAGTAGGTGGTGAGATGGATGGATGAATCTATGGATGGCTGGGTGGATGCATGGATGTGTAGAAAGACAGATAGATAGGTAGGCATGCAGGTAGGTTGACTATCTAGGTAGGTAGGCCGATAGTTATAACACTAAATGTCAGGGTACGTCCAAAGAAGGTATTCCCAATGCCCGACACCATCTATGGACGATTTGGGGCTGATCCTGTTCCAGTTCAGCATCGCAGCAGGATTAATGATTAGAGAGGTTCGTGCTTCTTGCAAGCTGATTGATGTATGATCGCAGTTTTGGGGTTTGCAGCTCCAAAGTGTACCCCCTGCACCCTGAAACTTGGGGTCCAAAATCCTAAACTAAACCTTAAACCCCAAACCTTAAGCATCCTGAAACCCTATTAAATGAATGTAAAGCTCCCCATCGATCACTTCCAAACAGGCTGCGTGCAGACTTGCCGGTGCCATTCTCGACTCCGCCTTCGCAGCCCGCTGCAGGGCCACACGTCCCAAGAAGTTGGAACATGGGTCTAGGAGGATTACTGCTAGGATCCCTTATCATTTACCTTAAGGGCATGAGGATACTAATGTTCCAACTTTCTGGCTTCTACCATAGGGTCTAGGGTCTATGGGGATTTCTGGTCAAGGTGGTATTGTAGTATGGAGATATGTGAGGCTTCGGCTTTTCCTGTGTTTGCACATGGCATCGAGTCCTGGGGCCATAGCCCGTGATCGGAAACCCTGAACTTGTATCGAAGCGTGGGACTGAAGTCAGGGACCCAAAAAGCACATAAGCATACGCATTTTATGGGGATGTCCCTATCTATTGGGCTTCCTTTTAAGGGGGTTTATATGGGACATCCCTATCCTCAGTTTTGCTTATGTGCTTTTTGGGGGCCCTATGAAGCCCCCAAAAGAGAAGGAGATCGTGGGCTTGGCAACGCTTGGCAGCACTTGCAGGGGGGTACTTGGAGGGTCGGGGGACTTAGTAACTGGTTATTTTAGGGACTTATAAGTACCATAACCCCAATTAAGGTCCCTTTTAGGGTACTTATAACTTATAAGTCTACTTTCTAGCTACTTACTAAGTCCCCCGACCCTCCAAGTATAGGCGGGCTTTTACTTGGATCCCGATTGCCCATCCTTTAGGCTTTTTGGGCTCTTGTAGTGTACAATAGAAGCCAGAAAGTTGGAACATGGCCTTAGGAGGATTAGCGCTAGGATCCCTTATACTTTGCCTTAAGGGCATGAGGAGAATGATGTTCCAACTTTATCTGGCTTCCACTATAGTAGGAATCGGAAAGTTTAACCTTTCATTTCTGCGGCTTCTTGGGTACCAGTATGTTTAGGGTGCTTCGAGGGTCATGGTTGAAAGGTTTTCGAGGGTATAGGTCGTCGGACTCAAAGGGACCACCAGTCCCTCAGCTTTAAACTGCCTTGCACCCTACGGCCCTACGGTTCAGGGTTTAGGGTGTGTTTGGGGTTCAGGGAGGCTTGCGGAGATTTTGGTTATGGGTTTAGCGTTCAGGGAGGCTTGTAGGGATTGCGGTTTCGGTTTAGCTTCCTGAAGGCTGGCCCTTATGCATCGGACTTAGCGCGATAGAAAGACTCCTCATGATACTGTTTTAGTGATCTATAGCGATCCCACAAGCAATTGAGCCGTAAAGCCTCCCCATAGTCTCCATTGCAGCTCTTTTTTTTGGCATGCCTTATAGGCGCCTAACTGTAAGATAGGCTAAACAAAGTAGCTACCATGGAGACTATTGGTAAGGTCTCAAAGAAGTACCTATAGATTGTAGTTCTTTTTTGGGGTTACCTTATGGGATCCTTAATATATAATTGGTTAAACCAAAAAAAGGAACTACAATGGCGACTATAGGTAGTGCTTCGTGCAGTTCAGGGAAAGCTAATTAAGGCGACCGCCGTCCATGGCAGCCGCCTTGCGTGCCGCGCCTGCCCCGCGGCCTGCGGTCGTCGTTCCGAAGGCCCCTACTATAGCCTTCTCAGGAAATACGTGTTTACTTTTGTTCTTGTAAAGCCCGAGAGAATATAAAAATTGTTAAGGCTATTATGGTTTTATGGGGGCTATAGCCTAGACACCAGCTACCTACTACTTGTAAGTACTGGGCTGTTGCACTGGAGTTGTCGGATATCTAGTACTCTGGGATATGGCTATACTTACATAACTACATACATAACTTTGTATATACATGTGTTTGTATTTGTACAGAGAGATACTATATGCATGTACCCAGACACTCGCATATTTGGCAGAAGGGATTGAACTCTAAAAATTCCATATGTATCTTGGGTTTAGTTTCGGGTCCTGATGTTTCGGTCTGGGGGTCCCCAAAGAGTGTTCTAACCCATGCAGGAGGTTTATGCTCTATGTTTCAGGGTGTAGGATTTGAGAGTATCGGGATTTGCAGTCGGACAATATTCTGCAGCGAGCGGTTCTGATTCTACAGTAAACCGTTTGAGGTACTATAGGGGCCTTAATGATCACCTCTCCCACTTGGCGGGGTTCCTTTCTATAGTGTAAAATACCCGCCTCCAAAATGCTATTCTAATTGTTAAGACCCCCAGATTATAAGTATCCCGCAGCTTCCTGCAGACTTCGTGAGACCATTTTCCTGTTGGGTTTAATTTGGGGCCGTTCCTGAAACGCCCCCGATTCGACTCGACAGGGCTTAAAATGTAGGGTTCAGGATTTAGCGTTTAGGGTGTTGGATGTAGGTTTAGGGTTTACTGTAGGGTTCAGAATTTAGGGTTTGGGGTACCGGAGATAGGCGACGCCTGCTGCTGCTGCAGCACTACAGATGAACGCGGCGGCATTAGCCTCCGCCACAGCTGCAGCAATGCGCCCCGAGACTTGGTGCGAAAGAAAGACTTGAGGGAACCCTAAACCCTAAACCCGCGCTTTGTGTGTGTTTGCTACTTGGGGACACAGGTGATCGTTCACGCGGTAATCGTCGTGTATGAGTGCGCACGTAGGCATTTCCGTCGTTGCTGACTTGCTACCAGACCGTGTCTTCGCATGTTGACTTTTCTCGGTTCATGCGTTTCTAGGGCCAGACCCAGAAAGAGGCACGGCATGCAGACAAGCTTGTGTTTTCGGCTTGTTTCGGATTGTCGACAACAGTTTGCTGCAGAAACCCTTGCACTGTGCTGTCGCATGCTTTTCATCTGCTAGGCACCCAAGTTGTGTTTTTTAGTGCATGTTGTATCCCCGCAATGGAGAACACTCGCTCTTTGGACAAACTTCAGATGAAAGCTGTGATCTGACACTCCACGAAACCTGCTGAAGGCCATCACATCACATCGTCTTGTTTCGTGCTTCGGGAGGTCGTACTGCCACGTGTGGCTGGGTGGTAGAGAGGTCTTAGCACCATCGGTCCAGGGTGCAGTTGTGGATCGTCAGAAAATGTTGTTATGTTGAGCTAAGGGTTTCGGGAAGGCGAATCCTACACACGACCTGATCGCACTTCCAGGGTCGTCTTCTTACTGAAGGATCTATGGGTTCAACGCCACGAGAGAGTCTCAGCACTTTGGAACATCCTTTCACATGTAGACGGGGTGTGCCGAGGCCGTTGCCCCGCAGCCACATCGCAGCCACGAAGAGGTGAAGAAGGCCTCTTTATGGGCTTTTTAAGGGATCCTCTGACGGTTCCTTTATCGGCTCCTTGTGGGGTTCTCTAAGAGGTTATGGGCTACTTCACTTCTCTAAAGGGTTCCCGGGTTCTTGCGATTCTTGTGTCCTGTACCTGGCTCTTGCGTTGGGTATCATCGTCAACCCCAAAGCTACCACTAGTCTCCATGGAATGGTAGTTCCTTTTTTGGGTTTACCTTGTAGGAACCTAACTATAACAATGGCTTGACCAACAAAAAAGGAACCACAATGGATGCTATAACTATATCACACATCACACCGGATATAACCAAAATGGTTTAGCAGAAAAGGAACTACAATGGGTACTATAGCTACATCACACATCACGCCGTGTATAAATGCCCTACGGAAACGTGAAGTGGAGCCTTTCGGCCTCGCTGGCAAATTTGGGGCCTTCGTATTGTTTAGAGCAAGGGTTTGGGGTGCATCATGCTATAATCATTATGAGGAAACCACCAAAACGCTATTCCAAATATTCAGGCCCCTACAAAAGACAGGTCTACCCTCTGCATGATCCTACCTATATTTTTTTTTGTTGGGGGGGGTTCTTTGTTATTTCTAGTTATAGTACAAGTACCCGCAAACCCTATTCTAGTCATTACTTGGAGGTTCATGGATAGCTATAAGTGGGCTTATTAAGTAGGATAACTCTCATTATAACCCCTATTAGGGGACAACCATGAACCTCCAAGTAAGGCCTCTATATATAGTACAGTAGAAGCCCCAAATTTGGAAACCCCATAGCCTCGATCCTTAAGAGTAATGTATAGGGAATCCCAGCACTATTTGGCCTTCATCCGGTTGCCAACTTTATGGGGTCTAGTGTAGGTTGTAATTTGTGCACGTGTGAAGTAGCATGTTGTGTGTACGGCATTGTGGCACAAGTGCTCTAACAGGAAAAGGTGCGTAGTTACCGCATGGTACAAGCTGCTTGTTATCACTTGGACGGACATATACAACAGTGCGTGTGTGCAGTGGTTTACAACAACTATAGGTTATCAGCCGTATAGCCTACGGCCTGGTCACAACTGGTTGGTTACAATACAATCAATCAGCGCATGAGCGAACCGGAACTTATTCCTGCAAGTATGGATACAGTTACAAGCACCGTGAACCCTTTACAGCCCCCGGTCACGGGTGGCCATACAGGGAGCGGCGCCCCCGGCTTAGTTTTCCCGGCACCAGCCTCAGTCCAACAATTCAACGTCTTCGCACCACAGTATAGTGTTGAAGTACACGTTAACCAGATCAGACTGGAAGTCGGAGAACTAGAGGCTCAGGCAGAAGCAAGACACAGGCAACACATGCTGACCTATCAAGAAGCATCCGCAATTCACACAGCCGACTTGGAGCACAGAGCAGAACGAAACCACCTTGAAGTGGTAGCAGAACTGCAAGCAGCCTTGGCACAGAGCGAGTTCAAGGCGGCAAATCGTGAAAGGCTCCTGTTGTCGGAAATGACTTTGAGTCAAGCGCATTCCTATGATGAAGATCAAAGGTTGCGCCAAGAGTTAGCGGAACTTCACAACAGCCGAATCACAGACGCATTGGATCAACATTTGGCGGAATCACGCTTTGCACAGAACCTCGAAGAACAGGCGAGACGGCACGTCGAGAATTCCCAGGAAGTCATGGTTGAACAGTTCCAAGCACACTTTGAGTTGTTTAGGAACAGGCAGAAAGAAGAGTATGAGGCGTCCCTTGCTGTATGTAGGGAACAGAATGAAGAGCTTCAGGACAAGTTGGATTCTGCGGAAACTGCACTAGAGAAGGTCTTGGATCAGTACAATCCAGCTACTCCAAAGAGTCAGCCAGTGCCTGCTCCAAGTACCCCTGCAGGTCCTTCTGTCGTCCCCAAAGCTCCTCAAGCGCCCATGTTCTCAATGCCGAACGTTATCCCCCAAGGCGCCAGATGTCTGTTCGAGTCAATGAATCCAGGAGGTTTGAATGCTCAGTCCATTCCGTCTGCAACAGCATCTTCAATCCCCAAGGCAGGACCTTCCCAGGCAGCGCCGGGAACAGCGGCCCCTCCAGCGGCCGATTCCGGCACGCCAGGGACGGACGCTTTCAACACAGGTCTCCTAGAGACCCAAATGGCAATTCTTCAAAGCCTAAGAAACATAAGGGGTGAGAGCAAAACCGATGCTGACAAACCCAAAGTAAAAGAAGCAGAGTCTATCAGCCTTCCGGAGTTTCCAAGTCCAGAGTCGTATCGTTCGTGGAAAACGGCAGCTAGGGAAGCGGTCAGGGCAGCATCAGATTCACCTGATGAGGCGTTTAAATGGGTGATGAAGGCCTACGACAAAGACGCATCGCAGGAATCCCTTCGAGACCCCGAGAAATTCCTCACCCTTGACACGAAACTTCTTGCTGCACTCACCAAAGTCGCTAGGGGAGAACTCTCCCGAGAAATCCTCATTTTTAAGGAGACAGAAGCGGCGAAATTCAGGGCGGTACGAGGACGACAGGTGCTCTACCTCTTCGATCAGTACTTCAAGACGAACGAGGAGGTTGGATCACTGTACTCCGTGGAGGACCTGCTGAAAGTAAGGTTAATCAATGACGACCTTTCAGTGTTCATTAGCAACTGGGAATCTGTCATGTCTGGGCTCAGCCACACACCGGACGAAACGACCCTAAGAGACATTTTCCTTCGTGAACTCAGGCAGTCCAAGAGACTAAAGTACGATCTTGAGATTTACGACAGGGCAGCAGAGGGCACGGATCAGCACACGTACAAGTTTCTTGTGAAGTCACTTAAGGATCTTTTGACTCGAGAGCGCAAACGCAAGAACCGTGACCGCATCGCAAGATCTCACGGAGATAAGTACGGTGCCCCTGCCTCAAAGTCTCCGGGCCGAACTTCCAGCCCCTCTTCAAGAGGAGGCCGTGGCAGATCGCAGAGCCCAAGGCCAAGATCACCCAGCAAAGGTAGATCCCAGTCTCCCAGCAAGCCTAGGACACCTAGCCCAAAGGGAGTATGCTACGATTACCTCAAAGGAACTTGCAAGCGAGGCAATAACTGCCCTTTCCTTCACAAGAAGAGATCATTGTCCCCCAAAGGCGACAAACCCAAGAAGAAAATCAACGTGACATGTAAGTTCTGGAAAGAAGGCAACTGCAACAAGGGTGATAAATGTCGGTTCCAGCATAAGGACATAGAGAAGCCCTCAGCTCCAGCACCTAAGTCCGAAGCAGCCCCGGCAGCTCCAAAGCCAGGGTCACCCAGGGCCAACTCTCCTGCTCCGCGCAGAGGGAGAAGTCCCAGGGCTAAGTCAAGTGACAAGGCCCCAAAGACGGCCGCATGCGCCATCGCGTTCGAGAATACAGCGGATCTTGAGATCTCGCCAAAGCTCGCTATGGCAGCGTCACATGACGAGGACTACTGGGAGGTAGACTTCACCGGCAACAAAATCATCCGCCACCACAAGAAGTACCGAACGGATTGGTATGTTCCTGACAATTCATGTCCAGTGAACCCCAAGAAGCTTAGGAGCCAAGCTGAACTCGAGCAGGTTTTGCCGGTCTCCCCTTTTGTGGGAAACAAGATCTACAACTGGAGGAAGACCCCAACCAAAGGACCCGGCAGTACATGGGTAGGTAAGACGATCTTCTACATGCAAGAACTCCCTAAGGTGAGTTTTGACAGCACCGTAGAAATGATTGCCATCGAACCGGAAGGAAAGCAGAGAAAGCATGCCTACCTTCCCAGGATTTATGATGAAGTCTATCCCACTGTCGAGGCATGTCCACGCTCGAATCCTAAGGATCTGAAAAGGGCTCTTGTGTGGGCAAAGCAGTTTGCCACCATGATCGAATGCATGACTCACGACACGCCTGCGGGATGCGGGTATGAATGCATGGAGGAAGGCTTCCTCTGCGAGGAGTGCGAGCGACTTGCACGTCCGTCATGTGCAGGGCTGGTCCCCGGTTTAGAATTCCTAGCGGATACCGGAAGTGAAGAGGACCTCATCAGCAAGTCGGACTGCAGAACTCACTTCCCCGACGTACCTATTGAACCTGCCTCACGTCCTGTTTCTTTGATCACCGCCAACGGGCCGGTAAAAGGTAACGAAGCCGTCAAGCTAGAGGTCCCTGAAATCAACAAAATCCTCGAATGCTACGTGCTAGATTCAACGCCGCCGGTGTGCTCTGTTGGTAGGAGATGCATGGATGAGGGCTTCGATTTCCATTGGTACGCAGGGAAGACGCCTTACTTCGTCACACCTGAAGGCCGGAAACTTTACTGCAAGCTGCGCGGGCGAGTCCCGGTAATTGGGGATGGTACAATCGCCGTTCCCGCCAAGGATGAGAAAGCGGCTCATTCGCCAGTCATCCAGGCAACATCGGGTTTTCCCCGTTCAGCGGCCTAATAAGGCACGCCAATGCAGCAGAATCCGAGCCGGAAGGCGATTCCTCGGGTAGTGGCCTCGACCCCAGGATCGAAAAAGCACTGAAAGAGGCTGCTCCGTTAGGCATAAAGGCGGAGTACTTGAACAAACCAGGTTGGGTTTCGCATCCTTCCTTTCCACAGATGATCGTGGGGCACTTTCCCAAAACCTTTAGAACGCCTGCTACAAGGTTTCCAAAGCACGTCATCCGGAGTACTTGGACTTATGTCAAGAAATGGCAGGAGATCGAAAAAGACGTGGATGTAAGGACGTTGGACAATCGGGTAGCCAAGCTCCCCTCTGATGCCTGCATTCTCAGTGTAACGATCTTTAAAAGACCTGTTGATGACCCCGAGCCGGAGCCTGACAGCGAAAGAGAAGCTGAAGCTGACCCAAAGGACGAAAAACGTTCAGCCCAGCTCAAGCTGCAGGCCAATAGCCCGGAGCACAAATTCACCCACCGTCCTAAGAACCCTTTCTGCAAGGTATGCCAAAAGGCCAAAATGCTAGCGCCACATGCCAGAAAGCGAGGGGGGAGCTCCACTATCTTTTCGAAGAAGTTCGGAGACC